CAAAACAGTACAAAAGAATTGTCAAATCATTAAAAAGACTACCAGGTTGATTTTTTTTTTATTAGTGGGAAAAGAAGAAAAGAAAATAAAATAAAATAAAGGAAAAAAAATTGTGCATTCGGGTATGAATTATGGAATTTTTTGTATTAGTGGGAAAAGAAGAAAAGGAAAATAAAATATAGGAAAAAAATTTGTGCATTCTAATATGGATCATAGAAGCACCCAAATTGCTACAGAATTTAATTGTCAAGTGAGAGGAGTAGACAGTGTTATAAAATAAAATAAAAAGTGAGAGGAGTAGACTACTAGGAATGGAGGAGTAGACTAGTAGGAATGTAGTAGACGAAGTAAAACCTATTCACCATACACACTCCACATATGAACTCTATAAACATCACAGAAGTGACCAAGAAAGACCCTGGATCACATATATCAGAGATATCAGAGATGATAGATCAAAGATCAAGGCCGGTCTAAGAAAACTGACCGCAGTCGGCGATGGTCACCGCCTTCGAGGTCCTTCCAGAAGACGATCCAACCTTCTCGATCGACTCCACCACGTCCATCCCATCCACAACCTTCCCGAAAACCACGTGCTTTCCGTCCAGTCACTCGGTCTTCGCCGTGCAGACGAAGAACTGCGATCCGTTGGTCCCAGGGCCGGCATTCGCCATGGAGAGAATACCGGGACCGGTGTGCTTCTTGATGAAGTTCTCGTCGGCGAACTTGGTGCCGTAGATTGACTCGCCGCCGGTGCCGTTTCCGGCGGTGAAGTCGCCGCCCTGGCACATGAAGCCGGGTATCACACGGTGGAAGCCAAAGGCTTGCCACTCTTACCGACGCCTTTCTCGCCGGTGCAGAGGGCTCGGAAGTTCTCGGCGGTGCGAGGAGTGGTGTCGGCGTACAGCTCCATCACGATCCGTCCGGCCGGTGCACCGCCGAGCGCCATGTCGAAGAAGACCTTAGGGTTTGCCATGTTCAGATCTAGTAACACACTCTCAGATTTTCAGTCTATGCGTGTGACTTCGTCAATGCGTGAGATTTACGGTATGAATGTTGGTTCATATGGAGAGCGTGAAGGTGGATTTTATATGGTCTGATCCTTCTCCGTTGACATGATCGGAAATATTGGCGCTCCAAAAACGGCGCCGATTCATTCTTTTATTAAATTGAAATGACAAAATAAGCCCTCTACCCAATCAAACTTTCCTAAACTACGCTCTCCTATCTCTTCTTATCTTTCTTTTTTTTTTTGTCCCCTTAAAATCTTATTTCCTTCTCTCTTTCTCCAAACCTTAATTAACACATCATTTCTTTCATGGCTCCTTCCTTTTCTCTCTTTCACCAAACCCTAATGAGAATTCCATTGGTTCCTTAAAATTAGACTTTTTTAAAAAATTATTATTATTTTAAAATTTGAATTACTTTTTCTCTAATTTCAGTATTTAACACTTTAAAGCAATAATCCCATGTTACCCAACATAGCTAATAACTTTTGAAAAATATATTCATAATACATTATTTATTTATTTATTTATACTGCATTTGAATATTTTAATAAATAAAAAATAAAATTGTCTCTTAAAAGTTCACTCTTGAAGAGAAATTATATCATGTTTATTTTAAAATAAAGTATAGTGTAAGTAATGAAAAATAAAAGGTATATATCATTTAACCGGAGCATGTTAATATTCTTAATTACAACAAAATTGGTTGGTTTTACCTCGACATGCTTGAGAGTGGAGTTCTATTAATTAAGTAACCGGGAAATAAAACATATGAATAATAGGAAAATGATAAAGGGGCCGATGGTACACCTCGAAAAAAACAACCGAATCTAACGTGGTCAAGTCACGTCAAATTCTCTAAACCAAACATTGTGAAGAGTAAAAAAATCATCACGTGCTTAGGTTACTCCCAAAAATAAATTTTTTAAAAAAAAAACAACCGATAAGGGGCGGATGGTACCCCTTGAAAAAAAAGAATCTAACGTGGTCAACATTGTGAAGAGTAAAAGAGTCATCACGTGTTTATGTTACTAAATTTTGTTTAAGAAAAATACAAGAAAAGTAATTGAGCCATGGACACTGTAAAAATGACAGAAAGAATGTGAGTATATACAAATATATATATATATATATATATATATATATGCACATGCAATTATATATATGTTGGTAATAGATCATAAATATTCAAAAAAAAATTTATACAAATTTTTTAATAAATTTAGGTTTTACTCAATGAACTGATTTTAAGAATTATACGATTATCTTATATTCGAATCACGCAAAAAAAATTAGAAAGTATTCACAACATTACTCTTTGAATCAGTTTTCTTCTCCAACAGCAATTTAACCAGTATAGTAATTTAATTTAATGTAACAAGATAAAGATAAGTTAATTCCTTAAAAAAAAGATAAAGATAAGTTTTCACTAATTTTGAAGACTTCAGAATTTTTTAGTTTTCCTTTTCGCGATATACGATTACGTTCCCACTTTTCCTTTTCTTTTTTTAATTATCATGATTGTGAACCAATCTTGACATTTAATTAAGGGAATAAATAATATATGCATATTTTTAATCCAAAAACAGATCGATCGAATTTATTTAAACGTAGCAAATCAAATTTATTAAATTTAAACGTACAATCACGATTCAAAACATCTCGCAACTATTGTTGCCATACATCCCAATGTCTCCATGCTTACATGGTAAAGCATGGAAAATTAATGTAATGAACCCACATTTGATATGGCTAATTATTTTGAAAAATGGTTACATTAATATAATATCATTAAAAATTATCATTTTATTTTGGAAACTAGGGATAAAATATTTCATAAAAAAAAAAAAAAAAAATGTGTATCTATCTATACGATTATTTGTGATTAGATTCCCATGTCATAAGTGGATTAAACTTCTATTGTCAAATATATTTTCAACTGGATTAAACTTCAATTGTCAACTATATCTTCAATTATGAAGATAGACAAACGATGGACCAAAACCAACAACCTTTAATATTTTCTTGACTACAAATTCATACCTATTCCTTCAATATTATCACTACGTGATGAATCCTTGGAATTTCATTCCATATAAGATAAAATCATAGATTGTTGTTAATGAATATCAAGATATAACATATAATTGATGCTTATTCCTATCCCAATAATTTTTTTTTTTTTTTTTTTTTTTTTCGAACAATATTTTTAATTAGTCAATCTGTCAATGTATATAAAATATAAGGAAATGAGAACCCCACTTAATTTTCTCTTCCATAAATCGGTCTAAGAATAAGTACATAATGGGGGAAATGTGAGAGTGCATGATTCAAACCTAAAATATTTAAGAGAAGGGCTTCTTTACCTTTTAGATATGTTTTAAAAGATAATAGTAAATTTCACTTGAAAATTATAACTCTCGCCCAAATATCATTTTTATTTAATTAAAAAATAATTTTGTTTCTGTGAAAATGATAAATTCACTATTTTTTTCAAAGTAAATAAATACACTTTACTTTCTTTTATATTTTTTCTTTCTAAAACTAAATGACGTGTACTCTGCTTGCTCTAGTGACTACAAAAAATAGAGTGCATTTAGAGGTCCACACGGTAGAATCTAATAAATCACTCTCTATTACGAAAAGAGCCAAAGCCCCCACAAACTATGTCAATCACATGATCGACAAATAAAGCAGGCCCACCAAAACAGTACAAATGAAAGGGAATCCAGTAACGCAGCTATTATCCCAAAAAAAAAAAAAAAAAAAAATTTGAGGATCAGATTAGAGATGGGCCCTAAGGCCTAGGTCTCATCGATGCCTACATCCCTCTAAAGCAAACATATTATTACTATTACTTTATTCATTCCCATCTCTTTTGTCTCTTTCCTCCTCATACACTCTTTCCGCTATATTCCAATATTAATTTCAAGATTATTATATTCCACACCGTCCGCCCATTAACAATATTCAATAAAAAAAAGCATTAAGAAAATAAAAATCGCAATCTCAAGGAAATTGTCAAACCTATCCACAAATGAAAAAGACTACCACATCTCCCGTGTTCTGTATGTAACTTTGTGTAAATTTAATGTGTTAGAATAAATTTATACAAAAAAGTTATACTATTTATTTTTAATTTTAGCAATTTTTTATATAAAAAGATATTCTATAATAAATTCTTAATAACGAATAATAATAATAAAAAATTTAAATACGTAAATCAAAGCCTCAAAAATATTATATCAAAAATTATATAAAAATGTGATTAAAATATATTTAATTTTTAAAAATTTAAAAAAGCACTAATAAAAATAAAATAATAAATCAAACTATGTTTATTAAAATTCTTATTTTATTACCGGTTGCAGATAAAGAAATGAGAGTGAAAAGGAGTAGGATTGTAAAAGTGAAAAAGAGAAAAGAAAAAGAAAATATATTTACCTGTGCGTAAAAATGTTATATAAAATACATATATAAAATACATAACCCAACGTGACATTATATTTTAATAAATCAGTTGAAAAAAAATTATATGCGTGGTTTTCTTTAAACATAAAATGGATTTGTCTTCTTTGCAAGAAGGTAACTTTAAAAAGAAATGGATTTGAAGGGATTTGATAGGGAAAATTGTAATGTAAGAAAATTCGGAGAAGAATGAAAGAATTTATTAGGATTTGTTAACTAACCATTGAACAAAAATAATACAAACCGTCATGTTTTACAAATTACTTATCTTTTTACAAATAGAAAGCATATTTTAATTACAATCCAATTCGTTTCCCAACTTTATTTCTTTGGTTCCAAAAATGTAAAGATCAGCCGTTATAATTTTTTTTTTATCAAACCTGAGAAAATGCAGAAAAAGAAAATAAATGAAGAGAAAAATTGTGCATTCTCACCTGATTGCCTAAAGAACATATTTAAGTGTAAATATCCTTTATATATTTATATTTATATTTATATATATATATTTATATAGTAGAAATAGGGTAGACGAAGTAAAACCTATCTTATTTAAAGGTTATCCATCTCAACACAAAAGTTCAATGGATCCACCATACACCCCACATATAAACCTAGAAACATCACAGTGACTCTTGAAAACTAAAACGGACAAAGAAAGACACCGGATCACATATATCAGAGAGTCGATGACTCATGAGATCAAAGACCAAGGCCGGTCTAAGAAAGCTGACCGCAGTCGGCGATGGTCACCGCCTTCGAGGTCCTTCCAGAACTGGATCCAACCTTCTCGATCGACTTCACCACGTCCAGCCCTTCCACAACCTGCCCGAACACCACGTGCTTTCCGTCCAGCCACTCGGTCCTCGCCGTGCAGACGAAGAACTGCGATCCGTTGGTCCCAGGGCCGGCATTCGCCATGGAGAGAATACCGGGACCGGTGTGCTTCTTGATGAAATTCTCGTCGGCGAACTTGGAGCCGTAGATTGACTCGCCGCCGGTGCCGTTTCCGGCGGTGAAGTCGCCGCCCTGGCACATGAAGCCGGGTATCACACGGTGGAAGCTGGAGCCCTTGTAGTGCAAAGGCTTGCCACTCTTACCGACACCTTTCTCGCCGGTGCAGAGGGCTCGGAAGTTCTCGGCGGTGCGAGGGGTGGTGTCGGCATACAGCTCCATCACGATCCGTCCGGCCGGTGCACCGCCGATAGCCATGTCGAAGAAGACCTTAGGGTTTGCCATGTTCAGATCTAGTAACACGCTCTCAGATTTTCGGTCTATGCGTGTGACTTCGTCAATGCGTGATATTTACGGTATGAATGTTGGTTTATATAGAGAGCGTGAAGGTGGATTATATATGGGAAGCTTAATCTTGGCCGTTGAAGTAGACACGTGCCGAGACCGAGTGGTGGTTGGATATGAAAAGGACATGTGGGTTAGGTGACCAGGATTAGTCTGAACCGTGGTTAGGTTAGGTTCAGTCACGATTGGATCACGTGGTATATGCTTTTCATTATTCGGTGGGGAGGGGAGGTGATCAGGTGCTCTCAACTCTGTGGTGGTCCATTGTTCAGTATACACATGTGTCACGTTTTGCTTCATAATTAGAGGGGCCTTCTTAAGCCTGGGACCACTTGATTTTCGGGTGATTTATTTACAAAGTAACTAAAAAAAATTGTGGAGGTTTAAATCTGGGATTTAAACATTACTGTTTTAGATTCATTATTATTGGTAATGCTAGTCGTGTAAACTTGGGAAAAGACAATACAGAATTTTCTGCTGGCAGGCTAAAAAATGAAACAAACACAGGAGTATTTTGTGTATTTCAATTATAATCCTCCATCTCAATTGATGAACTGGCTACACTTGTATTATCGATTTTTTTTTGTCCAATAAGGACTCTTATGATTGGTTTGGTATGAAAAAGCAAAAAAAGAAAAATTAAGCTTGTTAGAGAATAGAGATGAGACAAGAAAGGAAAAAAAAAAAAAAAAATTGAATAAGTCATCTTTCATACTTTATAAATTTTTATCTTTACGGAAAAAAGAAAGAAAGAAGACTACTATAAAAATTGTAAATTACAAAATTATCTTTTATAACTAGATAATATTAACAAAAACAATACTTACATCCTCACTATAACATTCTCTCTTAACAAAGTAAGTGTTACTATCTTTCTTTATGAACCAAACAAAGAGAATGAATGTGTCTTCCAACCCACTTTTATTCCTTCTAGCCAATTTGTTAATAAAAAAATATTGATACAAGTGTTTTTTCATTGTAATAGAAAAATGTTAGGATCAAAATGGAAAAATACTAATAAAAAAGAGTAGTTCACATTTACAATGGATCTTTTTGTCCCCTTACAAGTCTTAACAACTTTCAACAAAGAAATATCTCGGATGGATCAGCTCCGCCACTAGTGCCACTGCTGCTGCTAGGCATGCCAATAATTCTTTGCCTTTTCCACTCTCTTTTTTCACAAACATATTTGAAACTTCTTTAATTTAAAAAAAAAAAAAAATTAAAAAAGAAAAAAAAAAAGTGAATTCGCAAAAAAAACAATCATTTCCATATGCATTTTTAGATGTATAAAATACAAAAGTTAGCCTGGATAAAATTTCAAAAACAATTCGAGGACGGTAATCATCCTTGGATAAAATTTTCATATTAGCAGTCATAGACCAAATATTATAATTTGTAATCAACACTCTTTCCGACCAACTCCAACAAAGAACATATTTAGATAAGAGAATAAATGTCATTAGAAAATTTGGCTTTTGTGCTTTGCATTTTAACAAACCAGAAAAAGAACATTTCATAACTGAACCATACACATATAGCAAATTACACCCTCAAAAAAAAAAAAAAAAAAAATTCCCTAATTGCGGAACACAGGAAAAGCTTTCTTGTAACTTCACAAGTTCATGAACGAGAAGATATTCAATGTGCAGTTCTGTTCCTGTCATGAAAGCACGTGCATAATATGCGGATATGAACGATTGGGATGGCCCGGGACACGGTACACCAGGCACATTGAAAACCTTCTCCCTTTGAACTCATGACTTGATTATTTGTATTCCAATTTTTTAATCCACTGAATGAAAAATACATTGAATGGTAATTAAATCATATGCTGCAAAAGAAAATCAAAATGACTGCTCTCTCTCCCGAAGGAAGAAAATTTAGTACCACAAGCACTTGTATGTGGACACAATTGATAGAGTGCTGCTGCTGCGGTGGTAAGCATATTTTGGAACTAAGAAGGATCTGATATTTAATATCATACAATAAAAGAATCGCCTACATAGATTCTAGCTAGATGACCTTACATTACAATCTTTACATAATTACATTTCTCCAAGACTACTGAATTAACCTACTTATATGAATTATCTCACAAGATACCCTCGGTCTGCAACAATCCGGGATACACAAATGATATAATTTGTTTCAATGACTTCACAGATGCTCTGAGAAATGCATGGCCCTCTGTCACTGCGAAAATCAGGTAATATTATAGTTAGAATTTTGGTAAAGTTGTGGAGATAGGCTTAAATTGCATGGACTCTATCAAGTGTGCTGATATAAAAATGTGTCTAAGCATCAAATTTATGTAATCCGAAAACTCGAGGAGGTGAGGATAGCAAAATATGCATAATTTACTAGTGATCCATATTGGCATTTCATTGTTGTGAAAACAAAATTGAAGCAACAATTTAAGATGGTTTTATTTAATTGTCAAGTAAAATTACGGTATAAATTTTGCCAGGTACATGTCCGATCAAACATGTTGAGTATCTATACCTATATCCAAGTGTCGTGTTCCAACAAGGGCACCTCATGCATTTAGAAGAGCCATGTTACCAAGGAAACTGGAAAGCAAGTTCTGTATGGTTGTTTAGATATAAAGGGGCATTACCTCTCGTCAGTGATTTTAGTCCCTTCAAAAAATCTTCAACACGTCCCAACACGGGTCTTATTCCACAAATATTTGACACACATAATTCCAAATACAACGACATTTCCATTATTTGAAGCATTAACACGCATAAATCCTCGATTTCAGGCGAAACCTGCTTCAACTTGTTGGTTTCACACAATTCGTTGACAATTGCAATCGCTTGATCCTGCATTCCAAGAATATGAAGAGCCAAGTGAAGGCCATGAGATATGGCAATTTAATCAGATTAAACAGCAATGAATAAGTGCCATACAGATTATCAACGTCATATCGTCAACATTTTCATCTTAACTTGGCAGATTAGATGATTTACCTAGATGAAGTATTGGTGCTGACTCAAAAGTAGTGTAACTAATTTATGGTATCTAAAATCTCTTTGGAGAAATGTTATCTAGAGTTGACACTGAGAAAGACCAAAGTAGCCATCTTACCTGCAAGCCATGTAATATATCTGGCATGGGAAGCTCCGGAAAACGAGCCAGGTCAACAAACCCCACATCGTCTGCCCTTTTAGCAGCACCTTCAGCTTGTAGACAAAGAAACTTTAAAAGAAGAAATGCAAGTCTATATATCTGAATTGCTGTAATGTCCGAGAAATATGTTTGAGGAGCTGGATCAGTAAGCTCAGTTGCTTGATCCTTGATCACAAGAGCATTTGTTCCGGATAACACAGCAGAAAACTTAGGATTTAACATGCAACCAAGAGGAGAAAGAGCAAACCAGCCATTTCTGCTATTGACAAAAGAAGGTTTCTTATACCACTCAAACTCCTCTTTGAGGACAGGATGACATAAAAGGGGTGCAATCCTATTAGGAGATTCTCCAATCCGCTGAGTTCCCCGGCTAATGAAAGCCAATAAATGGATACTTCTCTCCCTCAACAGTGAATCCGTTTCCTTCATGGCCTTGATCCATGAATTTCGATGTTTCACTAGCACACCCAGTAGCATAAGGGTGTGCTCTGTTTCTTTAAGAGCACTTAGATAAGTTTGTGTTTTCTGAGCACGAGCTCTTTTCTTGTCATGGTCATCCGATGGAAAGTCTGGAGCATTAAGATAATAAGAAATTAAGTTTGTTTTCTCCGAGAATAAGTAAGTTATTACATTGTCCACAAGATCGGTACAGGAAGAACTGTCTCCTAGAGACTGAATCATTGCTGTGACTACAGCCAAGCCAAGTCCCCAGAAGTGCTGCGGATTTTCAATTTTTCCAGAACAGGAGAGATTTTTCTCTTTTTGAATCACTGAGGAAGGCCTACCATCTGATAAGTCAGCAAACAACACTCTCAGAGATGGGAAAAAACCAGCAGTTAGAAGCATATCAGCACCTCCTCTTACACGTGCAAGGGTCAAAAGGAACTTCAATATTACTGGAATTGAAGCAAAAGAGTTCTTATCCTGAAGCTTCTGAACAACATGCTGCAACTGGAGATGCTTCTGTATAATGGGGAACCATGTGTTAGGTGTCAAAAAACTTTTCAGTATTAAATCAATAATGGCCAGGGAGAGAGTGCAATGCTCAGCAGGTTCAATGCAGTTGCAAAGAATGGGTAAAAGCCCCAAACTTGCGTTGGACGCCTCAGCAAAGGCTTCAACAGATTCCATCTCCATCACCCCACCGAGAAGTGAATTCATGCAACTTAAACCGACAGACGAGAGAAGCAATGCAAGTAAAAGCTGCACAGTTGCTCTAACACCAGCAACTGATCGCTTGAAATTACTTAACACTTTAAGGCAAAAAGCTGAAGTTTTCAACACAAGCACACAAGCGGCTAACGGGAATTTTTTGTATCCAGATCTAATAAGATGCAGGAGTAGTTCTGCTTGAGCTGCAAGGAAGTCAAGGGTATCTTCAGAAGCATCAAGAACAGGAGCTAATGATTCTATAGTAACATGTAGACACTGGCAAATGTGATCAATGCACGTCAGAAGCAGTTGCTCAGGAATCTTCCTGCCTATTGTAGTATGCTTCTCCGTTGACTGCATGAGCAAGCCTATGAGTTAGTTGTAAAAAGACAATTCAACATTCATGGTTCCTAACACTGATAATAGATATGATTGCCGGGCACTCTCCTCGGTTCCGCCCGCTGTTTGTGTTTTTCATGTTTGAGTGGTGTTATTCTTCTACAGGGTTTCACCACTACACAGCATATTTTTATTTCAAATTAAGACTCAACGGAGAGAAAATGTAGGCAGAGAGACTTGAACCCAGTACTTTCCTAGAACCAAATCTCATCAAGCTATCACACCCTCTTCAATGCAACCCCCTCCTACCATTTGGAGAGGCAGACAAACAAAACACAAACAGAATGGGACAAAGGCGTATAGAGGGACTAGAACTCAAGGCCACCTTGAACCAAAGATCCGACCCCTTGTTAGACAACCAATTGCTGCCCCAAAAGCTCGAGTGAAGCCATTTACTTCAGGTATAATCTTAATGAAGATAAATATTTGATGAATAAGAATTATTAGCTTACTCTACTTTCTGAAAATCTTCCAGATGACTCCAACAAAAAAAAAAAAACTTTAGATCCAAAATTCAAGACATGAGAAGAAAAGGAATAGCAATTAGAATTCTAAGAACTCACATCTGCGTCATACACTGATAAGATAGTTGTCAATGCTTTCAATGCAGAAAGCTTAGAGCTTGCGAGCAACACCGTTGAATTCACATCATGCAACCATAGCAGCATAGTTTCTGCAACTTCTTTTGATGCTTTCCACCCAGAATAATCCCACACATCTAATCCCAGATCTTCTTGTAAACGTGTGGAATCAAACAAGTACACATCCTTGGCGTGTGCAAAAAGGTCCCCCTCATATTTGCATTGATAAGTTTGCAAAAAATTATAATCAATGAGGTACTGGGAAAGCTCTTTGAATGGACCAGGATCAATCTCACGACCTTCAAGCTCTCCTTGTAGATGGTAATAAAGATCACTGAGTATTAAACGGTTCAATTCATTTCCTTCACTGAAACAAAAACAATAACAGAAGTAATGATCCACAGACAGAATCAGAAGTAATTCTTTTCAAGTGTTTTCTGACCTGGGCTAGAATTATACACACACATATATAAACAGTCGTCTACAGAGTTTTAGATATACAAGTAATAACACACATGAGAGGGAAAAAAAAAAAAAAAGGAAAAAGAAAAAAATTGCTCAGCATTTTTTTATTAAACTTCAATTTCAACAAATTTTGAATTCTTTTTTTTATAACAAACACTTGTACGTTTGAGCGTAAAGAGTGTGTTCTGAGCACAAATTAGAAGATATTTTAAGAGCACTTGAAACTGCAGTCATGATCAATTTCAAAATCAGCACATGAATTGGATTCTGAAGTGTGCTGGCCCGATACATATGAGGAGAATACTGGTTGCGAAGAGTGTGATTGTGCAAATAGTAAAGCAAAGGCTAATTTTTCCATTGAGTCTAGAATAGTGATAAAGTCATCATGAAAGGTAATTTTTTTTTTTGATAAATAGTTATCACGAAAGGTAAATCAATGAGTACTAACTGTATATTGAACTTCAGTCGTAATAAATTATCGAACTACGGATTAAATGGACGCATTTTTGGAGAGAGAGTAATGGAAATCTGGGGTGGTTTATGACAATGTTCCACATTTCCTGACATTGACATTAACAAAAACATGGATGCCTTGTTTAGAAGAGCCACTCATGAATAGTTTCTGGCAAAACATAATTTCACATGCATTATACCTGTAACCTCGCTGTGTGTACTGAGCTAACAATTCAGAAAAAGCAGGCAGATTGCTCAACTGTGGATAGAAAACAGACAAAAGCTGAAGTTAGACAGGAAATAAATGAGCTCAAAATTATTTTTAATAGTGCACCGGAAAAACATAACCTGTTGTGATTATATTAATAAAAAATAAGACCACAAATGACAAAATCATGCATACCTATTTTTCTGATCAAACAAGCATCAGCTATCAAAGCAATTGACAAAGGTCTAGAAAAAACAAACCCAGTATATCGGAAAAGGATCAAACCTTATTTGACAAGATATCAATCTTTTCAATCAATGATACAGACAAACTCCCCATATCACCATCTTTCAATTTTCCCATCACAAGCACAGCGAATAAACCAGCAGCGATCTGCAAAATTGCTCATCAAGAAACGTGCACCGTTTGAATATAAAGAATATAACAAAAAAGAATTGCATGCAAGTAAAAGATCGACGATTTAACTCTAACTCATGGCAATACTAAAGGCTTTGAAGAAGGAAATATTTCTTCCTCTGTCTGGGTACGTATGATACTTGAAACTCATGGGTCAAGTGCTAATGCATTAAGGTCCAAGAGAGAGAAGAATCATCATCACAGCAATAAAGAGGTGGCGAAAAATAGAAAAGGCCAAAAAAAATTAAAAAATTAAAAATACAAGATATTAAAACTACATTTGGTAGCACAAAGAACGGAGGAAAAGAGGGAGGATCACTCCCTTATTTGGTAGAGCAGAAGGGCCAAGAGGGAGGGAGGGAGGGAGGAGGAAGATTATCTCCAAGTGAACCCACCAAAAGCCTTCCACCAAAATTGGGTAAAAGAGTTTAGGAAAGCATCTTCCCTTCGCTTTTTATTTTGTTAATCTTTCACAAAAAGTTCTACAATTATTGAAGGGTATAATGGCCAACCACGCAATATGCCTTCCTTCTCAATTTCCTTTCTGCTCAACAAAACATGAGGAGAAAGACCAAGGGGAGTAGCATAATGGAACTTCCTCACCTTCCAAAGTAGAAAGGTCGAGGTTTCAAATCCCCATGGGGGCAAAAGTGGTGTGTGAGCTTCTTGCCGAGGTAAAGAAAACATGAGGAGAAGGTAAAGAAAACATGAGGAGAAAGCTCCTTTTCCTAGGGAGACATCTTCCAATCCACCTACCCTCCCTTCCATACAAACAGAGGATAAATGAAGATTATGTAACCAGCAAAAAAACTAAATAAATAAATTAGTAGGCTTTTGGCCGAAAAGAGACTGTTAAATGACTGTTATGCCAATTAAGCTGTAGATAGATAATAAGCTGAGACCGAGAGTCAACTTCAATAGAAAAGCATCAACTCTTGAGAAAATATTGCAACTCCAGCCAACAAAATTCATGCCCACAGGCAAAAACCAAAATACAAGATTTTCTTTAACCCTAAATATAATATTTACACTTTAACCACTTCAGCTGTAGTATTGGAATCACCATGACTGACTGAAGTATAAAATGCATCAATTTGTCCCTTAATCTTTCAGAATAGGCAATTAGATTGATGGACTTGAATGCAAATTTGTAATTACCAAACATAGAACTGATGTTTCACCTATCGATTATGTTCTTCCAATATTTTTCAAATCTCTCTCTCTCTCTCTCTCAAATAGACAGAAGAGACGGGACTATCTGAATACCGGCAAAAAAGCACACAGTAGACTTACAAGATTTTTGTGATCCTTGAGTACGAATACGAAAGACCAATGGGAAAACACGAAAAGCTTGCACCATACCTTCCATAATATCCTTTCGTATGGGAAAATTGCAGGACTGTTTCCCAAGGCACTAATATGTTAAAGTGCACAACGTAAATTAGACCTAGAAGGACACACACACACACACACACACAGAAGAGGGGGAGGGGGGTTGAATGGGTCTTGTGGATATTTTTCTGCTTTTAAACTAGCTTTTTGAATTTCAATGGATTCAACTAATTCCAATTACGTTTATGTGATGTCCGATTATTAAGGAATATTAGATTCCCAAATTTAAGCAATCAAATCACAATCAAGCAGTGAAGCAATAAAAAATAAAGCAAAGTAGAGGAGAACAAACAAAAGAATTTTACTTGGAAAACCAGACCTAGTCCGGTAAGGCACAATCCACCATTAAGAAAGAGAATACAATCACGTTATGAGTACAGACACCCTTGAACCCCTAGTTACCTCTAGACACAAATGAAAACCGAACCTTTGGTAACCCTCAAAAATCTCCGTCCATTCTTCCACTCGTCTACAACATCCGCTGCTCACGAATCTACTTCTTTAGTGATTGCTCGACTGTCTCTATTTCCTGCTTTTCCGGTTGAATGATAAGATTTGAATGAACAGCTTTTTGAAGAATATTCAACCACCCATGAATGTTTTATGAGAATCCTAGATTGAATATGGAAGGAATCTCTCTCTCTCTAGACAATTTCAAAACTAAAAAACCTCACTTGTTCTCCCTTTTCTCTTCATACTCCTAGACTGACCATAATCTCATATTTATAACCAATAGAAGTCCCAAACTTTTATGGTAGTCAAAACCTACTAAAACTCTAATTTAAGAAAGCTTTCAAATTTTGTAGGTCCGACAGGTTCGATCGACACCTTCTGGATAATTCTGGAACGATCTACGCGCTTTGATTGAGCTATTCTAGATTTTTTTTCCCTGGGCAACACTTCGATTGACCTACGCTTCGATAGGGCTATTCTAGAAAAGTGTCGATCAATCGACCATTCAATCAACAAGTACTGTTTTTCATCTAAAACTCAAGTTTTGAGAAACATTAAGAAAAGCCAATGTTCAAAAACATTATGCAGAACATTTTACACCTAACCAATATAAAAATAGGTTAAGCTAGGGTCATACTATAGTCCAATTACCTGAAACCTAAATGCATGATTGAGAATTCCATCACCTCTGAGATTCCGTATCTGTCATAACAACATGTTACTCAATTTCCTAACATCGTTTGCTTCGATACTAGTTTTAGTTTAATCTCATGATGGAAGCCATTACATCAACTTATTCGATGCTCCACAAGGCACGAGGATATGCTTCAACTTTAGATCTTCATTGTAGTGTTTGCACTGTGACGTTCACTTAAGCAGCATTGTCCAGTTGTCACATTATGTACAGCAAACTTATGCATACATATAATATAAACAATGATTTAATGTAATGAATGTCAAACTTTATTAGATACATAACACCAATTCCAATTGTGAATCAGTATTTAACAGAGTAGCCAACCTTCAAAAGCAAGAACAGTGCATCATGAATGACCAACCCGATAAAGGACAGACTATAGACTAGTATTTAGAACCGCAAGTGGCAAAATCAACAAATGATTCTAATAGTGTCTAAGAACAATAAGAAAATGGACTAAAGCTTACCTTCACACGAAGATATTTGTCACTCCCACATTCATAAGAAGCAAATGACTTGATTAGATTGCCTAAAACTGAGCTCTCACAACAGGTTGACAAAATATCCTTAAGACCATGAAGACCACCTTCTGTTTTTTCAGTACCATCAGTTCTCTGTATACAATCCTTTGATAATTCAGAAGGTTGTTTTAAAAGGGAATCCGCATGCAGTAACTTTTTTTGTAAGAACACTTCGTATGCCAGTATTTGTAATACAGCAGATTGACATTGATATCTGTATGTCTGGCTTACAATCTCCATATCAGTAGGAATTTTAGATTGCACATTAGCCATTAGCAAGATAGATCTGGACAACTTTCTCCAGAAATTTTTAGAGCTTTTCAGCCAATCCAAAATAATTGTAAACTGACCAGCCCCTTGCCACAATGCTTTCAGAAAATTTAGCGCATTCAGCAATACACGGGGATTGCTGGGGACAAAGAAAATTCATCAAATCAAAATGGAACCCGCGCGAATCTCAAGATTATTATAGAAAAAGCAAACCCAAACCCATACAATCTCAAGAATTTTGATAATGAACGGTACCTCTCGATAAGATCATCGGATCTTCCAATATATTGCAGAAGTGCATCTATAAGATTCACATCTTTGGACCACAGTGACCCAGAGGTAGCTTCATTCAACCGCTTCACACCATCAGCATCACCTAATTGAACATTAGTATTCTCTTTGGCACCAATTACAGCAACAAGAAAAGCAGGCTGCAAAAAAAGAAAAAAAAATGACAATGCCAATAAAAGATAAAAATAATGAAAACAGTTGTAACAAAAGGGGCTGAGTAAGCAATGATAAACTGTGCTCAGCCGGGGTTGAACACAAGTATCATGACGTGCTTGGGTTAATTATAGTTTTGGAGGGCTTACACTTTGTTGCCTTCAATGGCATTGGATAATTCAGGGCTTCAACCCACATGATAATTGTATGGCTCCAACTACTATTGGCTCATAAATAGAGGGGAAAGAAGTGTAATTTTAACAGATTAAAATATCCAATTTCAAGAGTCAATCTATATAACAGAAATTTTGGATTACATTGAGTAAGACCCAGTTAAAAATATCACGAAAACACATGTAAATAATTCGCTAAAATCCATCGTTTCTCCATGACAAATGGTAGACTTGCAGACTCTGTTGATTTGCAACATCACAAGAAATAAATTAAGTTCAGCCTAATAATTTAAGAACAAAATCAGAGAAGCCTAATAATTTAAGGACAAAATCAGAGAATGTAAAATTATAATTCCCGTACTTACTTCTAACTTTTAAGTAATAGATGTATTTAAGTCCTGACTGTAACTGAAACAAACCTGATAAAGAGCAGCAGAAGTAAGTAATTGGAGCGTGGCAACAAATAGAGCTTCATTCCACAGTGACTGCTCACCCAGAATGCTTTCAACAGAATGCCTAAAATCTGTTATCTGGACCAAGTATATTTAAAATTACAAACTTAGTTACGCTTATGAACCAACAAGTAAAAAAAAATAAAAAGAAAAATGAAAAACCTGCTTATTATCAAGACCAAAGCATGCATTCCCAAACACATATGGTAGCGAATTATCTGCAATGACAAATAACATAGACAATACTCTTGCAGCACCCACTTGTATTTCCTGCATGACAACTTAAAAATCATTAGTAATAAACTCAACGAGCCATCTGGCCTAATATTTAGAATCAGAATGAAAAGTTATTTTGAAAATGCTATGGGCTGTGAACTCTCAAGGAAACAACAAAAGCATGTAAAACAATTTCCTGATAGGAGATGCAACAACATACAGAAAACAAACATAAGTATTTTCAATCTTATTTCCCATAAAATGTGACAAACAAAATTCTTTAGTCCCAGGAGTAAAGCCCACAGCCAAAACACCCACAGCCAAAACACCAAAAACATAGACAGCATACTGCATATAGAAGATTAATGAAGCTTCAATATTTATGTGGGCATTATAAATTTATAGCTACTGGATGCTTAGGATATTCTCATGCACAAGCAACACCACACAAACCAACCACCCCCCCCCCCCCCCCCCCCCCAAAAAAAAAAAAAAAAAAAAACTGGCCCACCCCCTACCAACAGAAATAAATAGATAATAAAAAAATAAAAAAAAAAACACTACACAAACACACAGAACACTTCTACTCACCACTTTGCACTTGACCTATAAATTATAATCAAATATTGCAAATCATCCACAGAATCCTTATGCAATTTCATGTTGCCTATGAGAATTAATGAAATATTGCACAAAGCTTATATTTTGATTTCTTATGCATTTAAAATTTTCAATTAGAATATGTATCGGAAGCAAGACTAACAAGCACCACATATGTTTATTCATGTTCTGCAATTGTTTAAATTATCAAGAGGCATAAGTTAGTGCATAACATAAAAAAACAGCCCAAATGTTATAATCACAACAATATTCATATACAGATTATGCATGTGATAGATTCTTATGGAACATGGTATGCAGTACTATATCAGAATGACAAAAACAAAGGAAAAAAAAAAGAAGTATTTCTGGCAAAGAAGCTACAAGATAAGTACATCGAAAATGAAGGTTCAAGATATAGGCAGTAATGATTAATGACTGTGAGGTGTTGTCGCATACAGGATTGCGGAAAAATGATATCAAGGATATCACTGCAGTAACAACAGAAACTGGTTTGGTTGTCGGAGACAGCATTGCTTGGTGAAAGACTGGAAGGCTGGGCAAAATATCCTGGAAAAAAAATACAAGTTAATGTTAAATTTTTTAATTTTATCAAGATCTTGCAAAATCATTCACAATATATCCAAGAGCTCAAAAATGTATGGCAGAACATACATTCCCAAACAACTAAGTGTATATGCATCAAGTGTATGCAGTGTCTAACTAAAACCATGAAGTGGACTTCTAACAAAATCAATCTCCAAAATCATGAAGAGAGAGAGCTTTCCCCAAATGAGAATGCAATTTTCAAGGCTAACTATTAAACTTTTCAAGTAAATAGTTAAATTGTAATACAATTTTACTTATCAAAAAAAAAAAAAAAAAATTGTAATACAAAGGCAGCACATATAAGAAATGCATCAATTTAGGCAAAAAAGAGATTACTAGCCACAGAATCAAAAAAATCTAACAAATTATGCTGCTTTAAGAATCATCGAGACTTGGCAAGGATTGTACTAATCAAAAGTTTATCCTATAGGACTACCTTTCGAGGATCAGTGAGAGTGCTCAAAAGGATATTAAACACAGAACATATTGCCCGTTGTAACCCTTCAATCTCCTCTAGCTCATAAAGACGGCTGACATAGAGTTTCTGCTACAAATGAACTGACATTAATATGGAAATCAAAATGATCATGCAATCATGGCAAAATTATGCAATTCATGAGTAAGAAGGAGCAAGACTACCTCTAAAGCTTGTGTTGTTGTACAAATAATTCGAATGAGAGTATTGTGAATGGAAGAATCACATAGTAAAATATCCCGGACAACCACACCCAGTTTCTTAGAGTATGGGATTGTCAACATGCATTTCTTGATCATTTCGAGCACCTATGACAACAAATGCATTTTAAGAAATTGATATTTTCAACAGACATCACCATCACTTATAGAATGACAACACAGTATGAAATAAAACTGGAAACTCTTGTCCCTGGAGTAATAGCAGCCAAATTTCAAGTCTAAAGCAGACAAAGGAAGAGTGTAACACCTCTTACCATGTTCAAGATGGTGTTCTAGCCACTATAAAACAAAGTTTTCATTTTTAAACAGTATCAGACAATAGAATTTAGGGTAAAGAACCTTAACTAAGTTAAAAAACACAATTTATTTTTTTTGACTAGTAAAGAATTCATAAGAACTAAGTTAAATAACACATAGAATTAGCGATGTTAACAATTGACCTAAATAGGAATTATAACCTTAAATTCCTGCCCAAAACCAAGTGTATTCAGGTTCAATAAAGGGAATTGACCAAGAATCACAATCCCTATCGGTAAATACAGTTCTAAATGCCAGCATATATATGTAATGAAGACATGGTGCAAGATCCTTCCGACAAATGGCACCATGGGTAAAATGATGCTAACAAATAGGAAACATAAAACATTTTCACATCAAGAAGAGAATAACAAATATTCATCACAAACTGGTGATGTAAACGTTAACCTGCAGCCAAAGTCAGCGGTGGTTTTCTCATCATTCTTTATATAAAAAACATGACAGCAAGACAAAAATTGGAAGTAGTAAATGGTTCAAATACGGCAAAAAAATAGACATTTTACATGCACATATAATGTCACATCACATCATGAGAAAAAGCAGAGAGGGGGATATATGATCTATTCTTTGCACTAATGGCCTGACCATCAACAAATGTAATCCATCAATTATTAGTTTATTACAGGTAAAGTGGCTCCTAGTTAAGGATATTAAAGGGGGAGAGGGGGCAGCAGTCCGAGGAACAGGAATGCCACTGTATTTACCACAAAGTCACAAAGCCCAGAAATAACAAGATTTAGCTACCAGGCAAAAGCCCAAAGGACAAACACTAAAACAATGATCTCCAAATTACAATAATCAATGAAGAGAGGGATTTGGCCTTTCCAGTTGGCCAACTCGTATACTCAGAGGATCAATCAGTAAGAGAGTTTCCCCATGTATGGGATAGCTTTGATTTCTTGATGTAATGTCTCACAGTTAACTGAGTGAAATAGGATGCATACTCGAGAAAGTAAAGGAAACCAATAGGTACCTTCAATGTAACCTTCCAACGAACATGCTTCACCCTGTATTTCCAATACTCATGATTAACCAAAACATACTGAAGGGAGAAGACAACAAGAGTCAAGACAACATCATTTTCCACTCCTGTCTCCACAAGCTTCAAGGTGAAGTCCAGCACTGCAAAGTTGAAAGTCATACAAGTCACATAACACTTGAACACATAGCATATAATCTAAAGAGTAAACATACACCTGTCCCAACTAGGATTTGAACATAGCACCTTCCCCTTTAAGGACATCATTATTATGACCCTACATGATTGTAGGATCTGAAAGTACTGAATTGATCCTGATCCCGTAAAAATTCCCAAGAGGGAAAAATCCAATCCATGTGGAATCCCTATAGGATAGGGATCCTGATTTAACTCCCAATTTTGCCAATCCTACTATAAAACATCTAATAATATTACTCTTTTGTTCCTTTTTCATAAGTAAGAACCTGAGATCCAAAAATATTATTAAATGAAAGGAAGACCAACTTAATGCTTTGTTTGGTAGGAAGGAAGGAACAGGTGTGAAGGGAAGATATGAAGGAAGGAACACACTTCCTTCGTTCGGTAGAGATAAGACAAGGAGAGAAAAAAAATAGGAGGGATGAATCATCCTTCGTCCTTTACAAAAAAGAGAGGAGGGAAGATAAGTGGGGCTACTATAGAATAATAGAAGTTCTATATTTCAATACTGTCCACAAGTTTTAAATAACAATACTATTCTCTATAAATTACACTATTATAGGTAGTGATAGATATAATGGTAAAAACAATTTAACTCTCTTCCTTTCTCTCCTAACGAACACATTAAATTGTGAGCTAATTCTCTTTTCTTCCATCCAACCGAACAAAACGAGGGAAGTACACAATCTCTTCTCTAGGGATGTCTCATCCATCCCTTCTTCTCTCCCTTCCATCCAAATTTTTTCTTGCCTACCAAACGAAGCATAAATGTCCTAAATATCATCATCATCATAATAATAATAATAATAATAATAATAATAATAATAATAATATATTATCATAATGACAACAACGATAATGTCTAATGGGTGGCATAAGAACATTTTAGTACCTCTGTACAAAAATAAGGAAAGCATACGAAGTTGATATAATTATTGTGGCATTATAATAATGAGTCATACTACAAAACTTTGGGAGAAAGTGAATGAACAACGTCTAAAATGGAATATTGAACTGTTAGCAAATCAATTAGGTTTTATGCCAAGGAGGTCAACAACAGAGGCTATATACTTATTGAGGACATTAATGAAAAAAATAAAATAAAAAAAAAGAAGGAAATCTTCATATTGTTTTTATTGATTTAGAAAAAGCATATGACAGGGTATCTAGAGACCTAATATGGAGGGGGCCCAGGGAAAAAATGGGCCAGATAGGGATATATAGACTAGCTAAAGGACAATTATGATAGCGTTACTACAGTTAAAACAACTGTGGGAAAAACAAGAGAATCTTCAACTATGGTAGGCTTGCAATCAAGGGTCGGCATTAAGCCTATATATTTTTTTCTTAGTTATGGATGAACTAACGAGACACATTCACTATGAGATTTCAGGATGTATTTAATTTGCTAATGATTTTGTTTTAATTGATGAAACTACAGAATTGGGTAAGTGCCTAAATAGAAACTTTAGAGAAAAACTATATGACTAAAAGCATTTTACAAAAGGCAAACATATTCGTTATTTAGACTCAATTATTCAATATGAAGGAGTTGCAGGTCATGTTAATCATAGAATCAAGGTAGAATTACTTGGATGGAAGAGTGCATCTGGAATATTGTGTAATTGGTGTATCCCACTAAGATTGAAACATAAGTTCTATAAAACTGCTATTAGACCAGCCATTCTTTACGAGACAGAATGTGGGAAGACGAGATAGAATTAGAAATAAACATATTTGTGAAAAAGTTGAAGTGGCATCCGTGGGAGATAAAATGAGCGAAAATAGATTAAGATGATATGAGCATCTAAAAAAAAAAAAACACCCGCGAGGAAGAGTGATATGCTCATAATTGAGGATAATGTTAGGGGAAGGGAAAGACAAACTAACAGGGATCGAGTTCATTACATGTGGTTTGACTAAGGCTATGGTTTGAAACAGAAGTAATTGCAAAACCACAACAAAACTACTACAGATAATGGTAAAGAATTTTACACTCATGAGTATTAATGACAATATAAATTGCAGCAAACTCGTAAGCATACACCGATAATTCATAATGCTTAGCCAATAAAATTTTAAAAATAAAAAGGAAACAGAAGACGTAAAATTCATTAAGAAAATTTTAGAACAACCAACATGCCTGAAAGAGTCAATGGGAAACAGCTGTCATTGTGCTCACAGTCTATCACAAGCATCCTTGCAAGTCTTCCTGAAAGCAACCATGAGGCACTGGAATGGCCAAAGAAAAAGAAAACAAGAATCACATAGATTAGATGTCAATATAAGTGAATTGCAAATCATGCCGACTCCATTTAAATGTAACATACATAGATAAACCCATTTCCATTGGAGAAATGCAGACCAACAATTTTACCCAAGACAGTGTCCAGTAGGAGTAACATAAATTGAATGAATTTGTATGACCAAGAAACAGAAAGTATTGCTGCGAAAAAATAGGAGTACCCAACTTCTTTTGAAAAGGACTCATGAGGTGAGTTGTGAACTTTACTTGTGTTCCACTTAAATTGAGAAAATTCAAATACAAAAGACCCAGTATGTTTTCACTAATTATTAACTAACATATGAAGATGCACTTGAAATGTGCCCATTTACAATTAATAATCACCAAAAAAGTAGACTGCTGCAAAACAGAACAAGATAGACGAACAATTTTTAGCAATTATAAGTTCCATAATTAAATACTAATATAAAAGAACACTTTTCTATACATTCAGCAGAATAGGAAAAATACAATCATTAAGACAGGAGAAAATAGAATTAGTGACCACCGGAAATTTAAATCACAAAGCATATAGAGGGAGAAGGGGAGAATAATGTAAAAGAAAAAGCTGCTCTTTATCCTAACAAGGATGAAACCGTTCATGATTCCTAAAATATGCACCTTGTAACTGGGACCAAAGGAAATTTATATCACAAAGCGTATAGAGGGTGAAAGGGAGAATAATGTAAAAGAAAAAGTTGCTCTTTATCCTAATAAGGATGAAACCATTCATATTTTTTTTTAAATATGCACCTTGTAACTGGGACACCTCATATGTGCACTACAATAGTCCAATATATATAATGCCTATTTCAATGAAGATTCACCTTGAAAAGCCGTCACAACTGAAGTTAAAAGGATTCATTCCCAAGGCAACATCAAAAATATTTGCCCTTAAAGCCGTTCTAGTAACTTGAGATGGAGAACTGCAATGAAAAAATATTCAGGAGGACAAGCATCAATTAATACAAACCAAAAGAATTAAAGAAAAAAGAGAAATAAATAATAAATAAATAAGATGAGACTACATCCATCTGGGTACATGAATCACAAACAGAGAGAGTAAACATTTTCTTCACACAAAATTGAGTTGCTTGAAATAAAAGGAGGGACAAAAAAGAGTGAATTGTTACAACAAAAAAAATCTGCAATGTCAATTATCATATCTCTACCAGTAACAGCAACAATGAAAAAAATTCCCATGGGCCACAAGAAGATAGGATTTCAATGCAGGATTAAAAAAAAATTAAATTAAAAAGAAAAAGAAAAAAGAAGCACACTATGCCACAATCATTCTGAAAAATTGAGCTCTCCATTACCACCACTAACGATCTTATACAGGCATATATAGGAAAGTTAGTGTAGTAAAGAAACAAAGTAAACTAACAACAAAATGATTTTTTTAAACATACAATTGGACATAATAAAATTAAATCAAAACAAAATAAGTAGAAGAGAGATGAATTAACGCATATGAGCAACCCAACAGAAACAAAATTGAGGTTACCATTTTAACATCTTCGCCAAAATAGTAACACCCATGGACATCAGTACTGCACCACTGCAACTAGGAGACAATTTTTTTACCAAATTGCAAACAATCTCAACCAAATTAACCCTGCAGTGAAAAGTCATGGAACATTCTTCAAAGGAAACAAGAAAGTTGAACACATTGACAATAATAATATTTACACTGCCGGGAAAGAAAAAAAATCAAGTCAGTACATTACCACACATTCTTTTCCGTGTTCACACTCGTTTCACTGGCTTCAACATGCGATGAGTTGCCAATCTCCATCAGAGTATAACAAATAGCCTACCAATAATAGATCCATGAACAGTTTGGTTTATTTAAAAAGAAAAGAAAAAAATGAAATAATTGCAACAAAAGACAACTTATATTGAATGAAAACTCTAAATTCATCAGGCCTAAAGAAGGGATTAACTGCTGAAGACATCCCAAAGGGTATATAAAATCACATGAGTATTTTAAACCATGGTCGATATGGAGCGGACTCAATCAAGTCATCTCTACTATCAGGAGATCTAAGATGATGCAGCAACTCAAGTACAATGTTTGTCACGAGAATGTAATATCCATGAAATCAATTTAATGTTTAAAAATAATTTAAGAGTAAAACAACATGGGATGAGATAATTAAAAAATGACTATAAGAAGTTACATATGGAGACAGAGAATTCAAGTGGCCGACCCCATTCATATGGGATTAAGGCAAGGAGGAGGAGGAGGAGGAATAGTTAGGGTTAAATAGTAAATTAGGTTATTTCAAAACCATATAGGTATAGGACCTGTTAACTGGAGATATTATAAACTAGGACACAAACAGACCCCTAATATCTATAAATATAAATAACCCAATTAGTTATAGTTAGGGTTTTTAAAATATTTGGCACCAGAACATCTGAGAGAGAGAGAATATAACTGAAAGGAGATTCAGGAATCCTATGCAGGAAGCCTACTCTGAAAACATATTATCATGCAAGTTAATTTTGTGTTATATTTTATACACAATTATATATTATAAGTCTTAAATATATTGTATTATTAAATTCTTTAATCACCTTGAAAAGTATATTAGACTGTGCAGTTAAAGGTTGTATGTAAATTCAGAATTGAAGAATATATACTGCAGGAAAGTAATACATTCTTTGAGAAGTTGATCTGTGGAATCAGATAACCTAGAACTATATCTTCAACGCTGTATAAATATGATGTATCTGAATAATATAATATATAATTGTTGTAGAACCACACACCTATATATATACATATATAAAAGGTTAGGCTGAAAAAAAAAAAAAAAAAAAAAAAAAACCTCCACTTTCACGATTTCATAGAAAACCTCCTGAACTTTAATTTTTGCACAAAACCCCCTTATACTTTTTTCGATGAGTACACAAAACCCCCTTATACTATTCCCAAAATATGTAGATACCCCCTGCCTTTTGCAGATCGTTAAATTAATACCCTTCTTTATTATCAAAATGACCTTGGATCATTTTTAGATCCATGAATCAACTTGTGATGTAAAAGAGTTATCCATATTTTGTATCATATATATACATCCCTAATTTTTTTTTGTAATAAAGGGCTTTTGTCATTTTACAATTTATTTTTCATTTCTTTAGGGGAAAAATGGTAAATTAGGTGTGTGTTAATGGCACTATCAGGTTGGGGTAAGTTGCACTTTTCGAATAGTTGAGGGGGGTATTTGCAAAACTGTGCAAGTTGAAGGGGTTTTTTTGCGGTTAACCCTATATAAAACTATAAGGCTTTCCTACTTAATCACATGTCCATAAATATATATGTATTACATATATGCTAGGATAGTAGAAACTCATGCTTTAGGTAAACATTTCCTTCAATTTATCACACAGAATAACCGTAATCTTGAACCCTAGCTTGGTTTTAAATCTAGAACAAGAAAACCCAAAATTCAAGTATAATTATAAGGTGTTTGGGGGCTGGGTTTAGTGTATAAACAGGTTGGTTCAAGATGGTTGAAGGCTGGTAGGCATGCTGGGCTAAAAAGAAAATGGGAAAGAAGATAAGCCCTGGTAGCCCTCGCCTACTTACAGGGACAACACGTGGGGTAGGGTATAGTTCATCCCCAGCCCATCTCGGGTCGGTTTCAAGCCCGTTTGACTCGACATGTCGATCCCACCCTATTGGGCCCACTTTTGGGTCAAACTGAATTAAAATGTATCTTCAATCAATTCAATTAGGAAAGGCTGGTAGGCGTGCTGGGGTAAGAAAGCAATTGGGGAAGAAGATAAGCCCTGGTAGCCCCCGTCCACTCACGGGGACAACACGTAGGAAAGAGTATAGCTCATCCCCAGCCCATATCAAATTTGTTATTGCCTGCCAAAGATGGGACTCGATCCTCTTACCACCCCCACTTTGGGAAAGGAAAGCTCAGACCACCAGGGCTAATGGGCCAATAGTTACTTAATGGGATTTGGTGTGTGTTGGTGGTGATTTTTATTGAAGAATGGCAAAGAATGAGTTTATTTAAAGTTGGTTTGAAGTCATGCACCAAGTCTAGGTATTAAAATTGATGCTCTTGTATTTAAGTTTGGGGGCGTGACATTTTGATTGGTTGTGATGCATATTGCCATGATTGGACAAGTCAGATGTGATTCGCAATACATTACATAGGATTTGCATCGTAAATCCGAGTACTGTACCAAGAGGCACTATTTCATTTGTGTCACAGTACATCGATCTGTGATGTAACCTCTCTCCCTTCCTCTTACATTAAACACACTCCCATTTGTCTCACAAGCCACGACTCAAATAGTTATTTAAAGTCAACCGTCATTATAAAAAAATAATAATAATAATAATAATAATAATAATAATAATAATTGAAAAAGCATGATAAAAAAAAATTTGAGTAATCAGCCAACACCAAAACAAGAAAAGCATTATCTGAAGTATGGAAAATGAATATGCAAATAAAATGCAAAGAATAAAGATTGGCCATATACCACATTTGGTGTTCTACCTGATTGTGCATGTGGAAGGGAGGGTTGTGAAAGTAAGGAGTTCAGACATGCAATTGCATGGGGATGTGACGTTCGTGAAAGGCGAGAGTTAAGACATGCAATAGACGACGAGTCAAAATGGCTAATAGTGATTTCCAATTACCATATTAAAGGATACCAATCGACTAAGCAAGTCAAGAGTGACAAGGACTTCCTCAGTGTTCTCCAAATACAGCTCCTGCCCCAAACGCAATAGCAATACAAGCACCCCGGATTGAGTGTACTGCAAAAAAATTATGCATATAACAATCATTAGAAACAAGTTGATGCTCGAGGACTAGATGACTAGATTTAAATAAGACATCGAAAGTTCACTGACCCAAGAAAGAACACATAAATTGAAAGCGTGCAACTCAAGTTAGTTGCAACCAGCCACACCATTACACCAAGAGAAAAAGACCTCCCATACTAATAGTATAATCTAATGAGAAGTAGTGCAAGTAATCCAAAAAAGGAAAGATATCTGCCAGAAGAATCAAGGCTTTTACATACAATGTATGATGGCAACACTGTGAAAACAGCGTACTGAGAATTTGAGGTAGCAGGCGACAACGAAAACGTATAACAAAAGAAACAATAGACTCTCCTTCAATTCACTGTGAAATTCTAGTGGTAAGTTGCAACTCAAGTAATCTCATTCATTGGGAATTGCACAAAGTTACCAGAGAAAACAACAGTTGGAAAACATCAACCCTTTGCAATTGAAGAAGAATGAAAATGGTTTCTTATATCCTTTTATAATATATATAACACCAAGATTTTTATTTTTATTTTTGACAAGATTGTAATAAAAAGCTTTCAAAAATCAGATTTGATGCAGTATATTTTATCATCATGCAAGATCAACACAATCACAGTGCTATAACTAAAATCAGATAACTTTTTCAGAAGTGAACCTTTTTCATAGAAAAAGTAGCAATAAAATATTTCAAAAAATGATAAGAATTTGATTAAATTTTAAGATTACTATCAAAAATGCAAACTTCTTTATGATGACCCACAACCATCTCAATATTATTAAAATTTTACAAGGAATTTTGTTTCAGGTAAAATGGAAATACAGAATGACATGTCATATTGGTGAATTAGAACATCCCACTAAATAATCACCCTGGAGCTTCAGAATTGGGAATTTCTCAGATCTAAGGAATGACATTTTCCATTTCCATCCTTGATGAAGCACAAGAAAGGAAGTCACTTGAATCGGATAAACGACTTCCAACTAAACTAAAAGGACATAAAACATACAAAGAGGGGACAAAAAACATTTAATAGTTACTAACAATAAAAATGCATTTCAATTGCTATGTATGCACTCAATTATAATTAAAAGCCCAAAGAGAACAATAACTTCACTGTCAAGAAAACTCATGAACACCAAAAGGACATAACAGTGAAATGAAATTATAAGCTCAAAAGAATACAAAAGAAAAACAAATGTCTATTTACCTCCCAGCGTACAAGAGCAGTATTCCCATCAATTACTTTCAACACATGACCACGTGTTCTACTAGGAATAAACAAACCCTCAACCCCAGGAACATGAAATGGCAGGTCTGCTTCAACAATCTGAGAGATATTATCCACCAAAGAATCACTATTCATCTCAAGCAAAGTTGATATACCAACTGACTTATCAAGATAACTATACCTGTTGACAGAGTAAAAGACAGTATATTAGTGGATAACCGATCAAGTAAGTAATTATATCAAAGACAAAATAAAATAAAATAAATGAATCCATTAATCCCAATCGAAACATTTTTCAAGAAAAATAAGGGAAAAGGCACTGAAATTTTTAAGGAAAAAAGTGATCCCTTAACTTTTAAAGAAAACACTCGAAGTTTGTATTGATTCTGTAATTCTGATATATGGTCTAATTCATAATCCTTTTTGAACAGATGGTAAAAATCAATTCCCCAACCCTACCACTCCTTTTGGTTGTCATTCCCACGCATTTACACCCTTTTTTACACCTTTTGCATAGTCTGACAAATAATCATTGAAATACTCTCTGCTTACCATCGATTAAAAAGAATATCTAGTAACTCCAGATCCAAAAATGACAAAAAGAAAATTATAAAATGAAAATCTTGCCCAGTTCGTGTGATTGTACTATCCTACGATCCCAATTTGCTAAATTGATCTGAAACACGAAAAAGAAAAAATATCACATAGAGATAGGATCTGTTAACATCCATAGGATTGTAAAATTATGATCCTGATGATCATACCAACCCTACAGTTTGCCAATTCCACTTATTTAAATGGGTTTCTTTTATGATTTATCATTCTTGGGGCTCGCAGCCCCTTTTTGCACTAAAAACCCCAAGACTTTTTCAAGTAATATGCATTATAGCCCATATTTTACAGCCAAATCCAAACGCACAAAATCGTGAAATATGAATGACTGAACATAGTGATGAATGGTTCATCGCTCACTTCACGCGTGCAAGCAGGCCACTTTCAAACTTTCAGTGGCAGTGCAGTTTGACAGTCTAGCTACTTCCAATGGCTTCTGACGACTTCCGATGAACTCCAGCAGCTTTAATAGAGATAACACTCAACTTCATTTTTTATCTGTAGCTCAACTCTATATAGTTATGGCTTCAAAACTTCAACCTCTTTGTTCATTCAGTTTCAGAAGTTCAATTCTGCTGGTGCTCAATTCTTCTTCACTCCTTCATCAGTTTATTGGGGGAGGGGGGCGGGGAAATCTGCAGTCTGCACAATTTATTTGAATCTGATAAATTGAACCTTGATCTCCTTACACACACCTTTACGACTTGTAAATTGTATGGTTGGTGTGAGGGCTCCTCCTTTTGTCCAACTTTCTCATATATATTACCGGAGTGAGCTTGTCCCAAAATGCATGTTTTATATGTTTGTTGTAACATTTCTATATGTTTTCTTCTTCTACTATTTATTTATTTATTTATATTTGCTTGTGTGTGGTTTTAGGCTCATAATTTGTTATTTTAAGACTTTTTCTTCATAATGTCAATCGAAATGGATATCATGCATATACTTCCTAAAGAACTAAAATGTTTTACAGGGGCCATGTTCACTAACCTCTACAAACAAATGACAAAGTAGAAGGTCAATGACAGTAGAAAACTTTGTTGAGTTAAGAGAGTCCAGTATGACATTCACACGTCACTATTTTCACAGTTCTTTTGCTCAACCAAACCCACAATTATCAGACATTGTTACATTATAATATACGATTAAAAATATTCAACTCACTGTCAAAAGAAGGTTTCGTGTTGCACAAGGTAAAACAACTGAAGCAAGAGAATTTCCAAGAAAATGTATTATAACTTCTCCTTACACGCATTCTGCAGGCCAATTTCCTTCACAAAGGGCTGATAATAAGCGAACAAGTTCCACAGTCCTGGATGGAAATTCACTTTCTAAGTTGAAAAGAAGACACCTGATGGGACCATCAATAAAACTGCCCCTATCCCAAAATTGAATACAAAGCGACTCCTGCACCATTCATGAGCAACAACCCCTGATAAATAAACAATTAAAGGACGTGATAATTGAAAAACGAAAAAAGTGATCCCTTAATGTCATCAAGAAACTCATTATGCATCCAAACCTCTCCTCGATAAATTTCACAGAGTATATCCAGTATCAGTTTAAAGTTATTGTCCTCTAACTGCAATAAAGCGGAACAGGGTAAACAAAAAAGGCATTTCATGAATTCCTTAAAAATGCAATTGTGCATAATACAGTTACCTCAAACTGACCTCATAAGATGCAATGAATGCTGATACAAAAGTTCTCAAGACGCTTCGATAACCAGCTACAGGACCCTGATAAAAACCATTTGCACAGTATAATGGAAGAAAAGAAATGCCACATGTCATGTCAAATTGAAGTGTAAAAACAATACAAGCACACCTAGAAGCTAAAGGTAAACTGAGTGTGCGCGCATTTAAATACAAGGTAATACTAAGACGAGGAACCTTGAATACACGAGAACTTCAATCTAGGAATAACTCACATCTGAATCCTTCAGTGTGTTAGTTTGAAGAATTTCAAGAAAATAACTCAAAGATGAAACCTCAAAGGCTTGACGAACGTAACCAACATGATCAAGCTCCTGTGTTACAAAAAAAAAATAAAACAAAAACAAAAATTTAAAAGCTATGTTATTAAAATAGACACATTTCACATGCAGATATAATAGGCGAAATTAACAAAGCAATGTACCAATAGCACATTATTTTCCTGCTTTCCTGGAAGAGATGAAACGAGACAAAGAAACACTGCCCATGATAGGATTAGCGGCCCCGCTTCTTTCATTTCAAAAGCATTGAGACTAGAAATTATTACATCCATTTCTTGAACATCAACCACAGAAAAAGCACTGGAACCCTGCCTGGAGAGAAATAAACAACCATTCAATTAATTATTATAAAGAAATAAATAATAATAAGGCAATGCTAAAGGTTTTTTAGGTATAAACATATATATGAATATAACAACTAATGATATCTGAAATAAATAAATAAAATGGATGCAGGTAATTTGAAAGCATTAAACTACAAATAATTTAGATGTGCATGGTAATGAGAAAACGGAGGACTGTCTATTTCTTCAACGTCCTTGAGAAATAAACCACATTAGAGGGTATATCTAAAATTTCAGTTTTACAAACAATAATATTAATTGACAGACATAATCCTAGTGAAAGTTTGCTCCCTCCTTTTATAAAAATAATAAAACCCTAGTTTTTGTGCTTTCAGCTTCGGTGATAGTTAAGATTCCAGTTGCTATTAATGGCATGGTTTTTCTCATTTCTGACTCAAGAAAAATCAGAATTGATTTTCAAGTGTTTTGATGCATAGCACCAATAAACCATTGTAGCAGAAAAGAGTTTCTCATGCTCTGGTTGTGGATAGTTGTATTAATTGGGTATAATTAGTTGCCAGTCTAAATCAATTTTAATGATTTGACCATAAAAGGTATTGTATATGATTTTTTTAACTCCTAGTGTATCTTCTTAGTATATAAGAAAATCTAAAATTTGTACCTAGTAGAATTATGATTGATGCCTACACAAGGGGTTGGAAATTTAGAGAAATGTCACATGTTTCAAACTCAATATTTTATCTTGGGGGCCGCGCCGGGGGGGGGGGGGGGGGGGGGGGTCGCGGAGGATTATAAATTTTTTAACATAAAAAGGGCAAGCTTAGTGCACGAGACTCCTGCCATTATGGAGTCGGGGGAGTAGTTTCAGATGTATGCATGCAGCCTTACCTCTGCATGCGGAGAAACTCCGTTTCGAACCTGTAGTAACCTCCAAGTCATAATGGAGTTGCACCAAAGACCGCCCCATATATTATAAAGTGTTTAACCTAAGTATCTAAAAATTTACACTCAAGTACCAATAAATTGGTGACTTATCAACTAAAAAAAAGTAAGCCTACATAACTGAGTTTTTTACAAATTTGTTTGGTGGGGGTGGTGGGGGTGGGCCATGGCCCCCTTTAGTCCCTTGAGTGGCGTACAAAGTACAAGTCCATCATATTGTGATGAAATTTTCTATATTAGACTGGTAGACAAATGTAAAATTGCAAAACCCAAAAAATAAGGTGAACCTGCAAGAAATGAGGCATCAAACTAATGACTTATACATGTCATTAACCTCAAAGCATCTAAACATATTGTCACACCATAACAAAATAAGACTGGACAGCCTCACATATTCAAAATGCTATGCTCATGAACTTCAATACAAATTCCTTTTAGGAAAACCATTTTTTTAATAAGGTAAGCACTCACGCCGGGGCTCGAACCCCTCCCCTCCTCTTTGATTAAGACAACCATTAAATTATTCAGATATACTGTCATTTAGTGTGTTTGAACGACTAGAATCCTAGAAAAGTTGCCTCTTCATAGAAGAACCTTACCTAAGTTTTACAGAATATTTTTCCCACAACAAAAAAGATCAGTATCATTCCACAGTAACTTCAAAAACAGAAAATAAGAAAGGGAAAGAAAAAAAAAAGTGCTGAACCTGAACGGCATTTCATCATGAATCATTTGGAGAAGATTTTCCAGGTCCAAGGTTTCTATTAGAATAAGCAGTAGCTGAACTTTCGCATGATATATAGAAAGCATAGCTTCAGCAGATATTGCCAGTTTCCCAAAGTTGCAAGTCCCGGACATGATTCCCTGCATTGGGGTATCCTTAAGCAAGAAGCAAAATAAAGAAAGAATGTAAAAACGAATATGCAATAGAAGGATAACAATTTACCCCATAAAGTAAGCATAACTTTTTCCAATGTTTGCCTTTACAAATACAAAAAGACTCGTAATAAGCAAGGAAAAGAATGTCCAGGACCAGATTGTCTTCAATCAGTGTTTCCTCAGCCCATAAAGTGAACAGATCGACATCCTGCAAGGCATGTCCTTCAGCACATGTCAAAGATTGAAAATGGAAGTGATAAAAGAAAAACAAAGAAATAAAAATATATGATAATACTAATAGGAAGATAGGTAGTCATATCATTTCCCCTCAAACAGAGAGTGCTTATATTGCACAAATCATGAACAAAAAAAAAAAACTCAAGTTCCCAGTGGGATAATGGGTGCATGTGTGACTTACATAAAAACAAAAAATTACGTAGTCAACGAAGAAGCATAAATGGAAGATAAATTTCCGGTTCCCCAAGGACCTTAGTATTCATCACAAATGAAAAATATAGCCACGATTCTTATCCTAAGCATATGCATGTCCATCTAGTTAATAGGAGTCATAAGTAGGGCTGCAAATGAGCCGAGCCGAGTGTGATACCCCCGAATTTCCGAATGCGGGTTGGCCAGGCCCACGCCCAAATACCCGAGGATATCAAAACAAATTGATAATAAACGAACACAGAGTACAAAAGAATAAAGAAGAATAAATAAAATGCTGACAAGAAACTAAAATGATAATCTAATAATAAACCTCATAATATACTTCCATTAATTAATAAACTCTTCTGATACAACTGATCCTCCAAAATACAACTCGGGAATCCATACTGTGTGGACCCTAGAAAATCCAAACTAAACAAATGACAATAATCTAAAACAGGAAACTGAATCATAAAGGAACTCCTATGTAGCATCGGAAGAATGAAGTAGACTGATCCCCGCTCAGCACGAACAACCTCTACTCGTGACGAACACCTGAAAAATAATGGTGGGTCAGGCCCACAAACAAGTTCTACTCTACTACAGTCCAAGCAGAGATCCGATACACGTATACATCCTAGTCAATCCAACAGTAACTAATAGTCCGTATATATATATATACACACTAAAGGAACCTCACTAGACTATAGGGTTGTCTCAACCTGAATAGTAGGCAACATGCAAACGCACATATAGTGGGCATGAGTACCTAGACCTACCAGGGTACACAACTACACTATATCTAGCTACACATCCCTGGCGATATACGCGCCCTAACCATTGATCCTGAGACTCAAGCTCATATCATGGCACCATACTTATATATATAGAATCTAGTAACCATCCTATCCAGTATAAATTAATCCTCCATAAGTCATTCAACTTGTTCAGCTGACCTGACTTGAATATAAGTATGACTTAACATTTTAGTTAATCCATTCCCATATATAATAAATTAATCCTCCATAAGTCATTCAACTTGTTCAGCTAACCTGACTTAAATATAAGTAGGACTTAACATTTTAGTTAATCCATTCCCTTATATAAAATAGGTAGGACTTAACTGATAAGTTAATCCATCCCTAGAATGCCACCGTCCCATACCGGTGCATTAAACCACACAATCCAACAATTGATGTAACAATTAAGGAAATATATCAAACATTCCATAAATAACTATGATAAATATGATATCAAGTTATCACATAATAGGAATGACTTATTATTTCTTTAAATTTCCTATATCATATGTCCTACACAAACTGAATCTTATGCATGATGATATTTTATTATACCGTTAAATAAGGATTCTCTATATCCAATTCATCCTACACATTTAATCTCAATTGCTAAAATATTTAAAAGATTAAATCCATTCGTTTGTTTAAAACATTCAAATAGCAAGCATCATTATGATTGAGTCTATTTAAATTTATTAAAACCCAAACCTAGTCCCTATTTAATGTTCAGGAATCCTAGGCATGTTTCTACGTTCCATCATTCCACAGATATGAAAAATACATAATTTAAACATGTAAAAATTCACATAAGAAATCAAATCAAAATCATGCATTTTATCAATTCATAACACAAGAACAGATATGAACCAATTTCATAAAACCTATGTTCTAACCCAATTAAACATGCATAATTATTTAATTTTATGTTTTTAATAAATCCTGGAATTTCCTAGGCATGTACAGAAACACGAATCAAAAGGAAAGAGTTAGAAGAAGAACTTGCCTTAAACTTTCGAATCGAAAGTTAAACTTCTTCTTCCTTGATCTTCTCTCTACAGGATTTTTCTCCTCATTCCTTCCTTTTCCGCATTCCCTCTCTAACACTATCTCTCTAGTATATATCACGTGAATGTTTCTAACCCCCTTTTACAACCTATAGCTATATATTTATAGGCTAAATAAAATAACCCTAACCCTTTTCCCAATCCAAGTCAACTTAAAAAAAAAAAATGAAAATAAAAATATTAAAAAGGCAAGCAAAATATGTTACGTATATAATTTATGTATATGTTTATTAAATAAATAAATTATACACATTCCATTATTTATTAATTGATTATCCAATAATATTTAAGTTACCATAATATTATAAAGTAACTTAAAACATAACACGTATCAAATCTATGTATATTTTTATTATTTAAATAAACATATACATCAGATTAAATATTACTACCCAAATTATCATAAAAGTAATTGATAAACTACTTTCTCTTTTATATATATATTAAAAAGGTAAGTAAAATATGTTACGTATATAATTTATGTATATGTTTATTAAATAAATAAATTATACACATTCCATTATTTATTAATGGATTATCCAATAATACTTAAGTTACCATAATATTATAAAGTAACTTAAAACATAACACGTATCAGATCTATGTATATTTTTATTATTTAAATATAAAACATATACATCAGATTAAATATTACTACCCAAGTTATCATAAAAATAATTAATAAATTACTTTCTTTTTTATATATGTATATAATATATATCTATATATATACATATATTATCCATGGGTAATAATCCATACACATCCAACCTCCTATCCAAGTAGTCCATGGGACCCAATTGGTTGGCCCATTACTACTAACCATAACCATAAAAGAAAAATAAAATAAAATAATAAAAGAAAAGAAAACATTTAATTTACAATTAATCAAAACACCATTTAAGCACATAATCTAATTAAACAATTAACACATAGACAAATACAAATAATACATAGACACATAATCAAATAATCAAGTAATACCTAATTCAATTAAACACATAAGCAATTAGTCAAATAATTAATTAAATAATTAAAAAATACAATTAAAACAAATAAATAAATACCGAGACTATCCTTTTAAAATTAGGGGTATTACACCGAGCTTTAGGCTGCTCAGGCTCGGCTCGTCTAAGTCAGAGAGCTGCTCAGGCTCGGCTCAGGCTCGGCTCGGGCTTGGCCGAGCTTGGCCTAGCTGAGCTCGAGCTCGCCTCGGTAATTTTTTGACAAGCTTAAGCTCGGCTCGGTTCGGGCGTGTATGTGGCTGTGTATATAATATATATACATATATGTATATACTATCTATCAAATCAGAGAACCATTTTGGATCTGGAAAAACACCACTATCACTTCACATATTAAACACTCTTCTCTATTCTTGAATCTCCTTCACCAACTTCAATTTCATCAATGATATATCAGATCTATACCAATATTTTTAAGCTAGAGAGGGGGGGAGGAGAGAGAGAGATAAACCTAACTTGATCGATGTCGCTTAGGAGTATAAGACAGTCACCTGAGAAGTAGAGGGACGAAGTAGGACGGTGGATTTCTGTTGCGATATGCCAGTGGGATTGGAGAAGATGGTTTTGACATGTTGCGGCTGTTTCTGAGGGTTTTTTTTTATCTACCCTTAAGATATTATAAGGTGAATCCAATGGCTGATATGAATTTAGATTTAAATGGGCTACTTAATGGCTGGGTTGAATTTAGATTTAAATGGGCTACTTAATTAAATGGGCTTCCAAATGCCCAAATACTAATTGGGTCAGTAAAAATAAATATGAATCTGGGCTAGAATTATATATATGGGCTACTTTTAAATATAATATATATATATGTGTGTGTGTGTGTGTGTGCGCGCGCGCGCTTAACATTGTTCAAGCTCGGCTCATTTACTAAACGAGCCTGAAAATTGAACTCAAGCTCGACTCATTTACTAAACGAACGAGCCCGAGCCGAGCTTTTAACGAGTCAAGCCCGAGCTGTTCATGAACGGCTCGGTTCATTTGCAGCCCTAGTCATAAGACACAAATTAAGCATGTTGCATGCACCATATGAATGGACTACAATGATGCCAATTGAAGAAAAAGATAAATAAATAAATAAATAAAAGAGCATATATTTCAATCTAAACTGATATAATTTGGCCATCTCTCACTTAACTCGACAAAGCCTTGTCCCAACTTTTGGGATTGTTTTCATGAGTCTTGTTTCATCATTTCACTGTCTAGCACCAAAACTTCAACTAAACTGCATGCTATGAATGTCCTTTATTTACCATGTCAACCCATGATAATATTTTATTCATTGTTCCCCTAACATTATCCTAAATGTGGACCATGTTATTCAACTCATCCAACAAATACTTGATCCCAACTAGTCGTTAACAATTTATATGCCTAAACACATTGATCAAAGTTGAGCTCTAACAACCTATTGCTTAAATGTACAAGTCAATAAAGCAACAAACTACAGCAGGAAAAAATAAAATAACATAAATTAATAACGCAATACCATTGCATAAAATCCATGTGGCAAAATTCATTAATGCGCACACTTTTCAAGCCCAGCATTTAATGTCCACACTAACTTCACTACCAATTTATTTTGCAATCAATTTTGTCCAAAGGATTAATTTAATATCTCAATAATTATCAGTATAATCCATAAATAAAACCAAGGTTGGAGAAAAATTCCAAAACGCCACGTCACAATAATTGCTTCAATCGACCATAAGTTCCCAAAAGAGGACACATCAAATTATTGTCAATTGGTGTTGTGTGTACAAGAGGGATGGGGAGTCGATAGCTCGTCTCCTTTTACATTGCCCAGGCCCCAGGGGCTAGGGATGGCTAGGACATATAGTGTGCCATTTTGAGATCCAGTGTGTCAAGTCAGAGTCCGCAAAGAGATTGATCGATGCTTGGGGAGGGTATTCAGTGCAGCCCAAAGTTACGGAAGCGTGGAGGACTGCCCCCGTCTGTGGTGGGCCTTATGGAGGGAGAGACATAGGAGATCCTTTGTTGGGGTGGAAATCTCCTCGGGGGCTATTTAGAGATGTTGTGCTTATTTCTTTATTCTTTTGGGTAAAGGGTTGTAAATCTGTGAAGATTCTTTTGTCATTTGTAGATAGCTAGAGGCTATTGTTTTTGGTCTGTGTAATTGTTCTGGGCTGCACTCCCCTCTTGCCCGCTCACCGCGCTCCTTAATGAATATTTACTCATTAAAAAAAAAATGTTCAGAGTCTGAAAAAAAAAAAAGGACAATAATCACATGACACAATCCCATATCCGGAATGCCATCTTGCTAGTTAATTCTTTCATCTGAAATGTCAATGGAAGAATTTAATGAGCTCGGCAACCCAGTAGGCATTTAGATGTATTTTTAAACAGTCTAGTCCAGAATTAATTAAACAGTCTAGTGCATAAGTTATCAAGTAATAGATAGATAGGACTTATGAAGATAAATAGTTAGGGCTTATGAAGAAGTGAGAGCTTTGTATGAGATTATTAGCAGTGTGCGGAAATATTTCCATAAATTGACAATTTGGGGGTTTCCCTATCCTTTTTACACATTCCCAAAGTCCGTAACAGTATGCGTTGATAGTGTATAAAGGATCGCAAATCATTAATGGTCATAGATGCATGAATTCACAACAATTAATGTGAAAGAGGTCCACATAAAACCACTCACTAAGAACATTCAATGAACCAACTCCATGCCAGCCTCTAGCCTCTTCATTAGTCGACCCACCCCTTAATAGACTAAGCATCGCCACCACAACTCTCCTTAACAAGCTAATTGCTATCCCCCATAGACAAAATTTTCTAGTTAAGAGACTTTCATCTTCTTTTTTCTCTTTTTTTGATAGGTAGAAAAACATACACCAACTTCGTCCCGATTGAGGCTAAAACCCTTTACCCCTACTATGGGAGAGATGGTGGAGATAACACTAAAGCTACCTCTCAGTTGACCAATACTTTCATCTTACATCCATTATTTTAAGCTGTGTAATCTTAATTGTTGAACTGGAGTAAATAAATTTAGATAATAAAACCTGTATCATACAAGCATACCATGTGTTCAGGATGACTGGATGATAGAAGGTCCTCGAGAATACATAGTAATCTATTTTCTAGCCCATCAGATATCAGCTTCTGTGCCTCCTCCTTTATGGCACTGCCTTCTTCTTTGGAATCACTTCCAACATATACTGCACAAAGGTACCAGTATTAAGATAAACAAGATGATAAAAAAGCTAATAAACAAATGCATGTATCACCTGAATGAGACCATAAGCATTTATATTAGAATTAATCATGCAAGTATGCTTTAGTATCCAAGTATCAGATTTGGATGGTTCACAATCTGGCACATGCAACCTATGCCAAGTCCGAAGTCCATCTTATACTTGCCTGGCATCTATTATCCATAAGCACTAAAGAAAATCACAAATGTGAAACAAGCAAGTCAATAAAGCAAGGTAGAAAGTTAGAAAGCCTCCCAAAAAGAGAGAACAATAACCAAGAAATTTATAATTTGACGCCTAATTAGATATCGAGTCAAACAAATGGATCAAAAATGGAAGGAAAATATAATAAAAAAGAAAAAGAAAATTCACCGAGCATTTTGTTTCTACAACAAGATGAATTTATGAAGGGAAGAAAGGAGTTTTTCTTCCCCACCCCACCAAACCCCTCCTTTTTTGTTCAAACAGATGTAATAACACAGAATTAAGGAAGCAGTAAGGATGCTTTAACACCGAACAAACAAACCAGTAAAGTACCTAATACTAAGTTTTAATAAAATTGAATCAATGTATTTACAGTAAAGGAACCATAGCTTGAGCAAGAATCATAGTGGCCAATGAACTACTGAAAATTCAGGATAGACCTTCATATTCAAGCTTAATTAAGCATGCAACCATGGAAGTATTCAAGCAAGCATGCTCAACCTTGGACAAAGTTACCAAAAATAACCATGGATTCCAGGAGAATGGGTGGTGAAACACAAATGAGACCCACCATTGCCTTCATAATTAAATTAATAGGGATACCATTGTTTTTCCATCACACGATTTATTAGTGGAGATGGAACAAGCACTCATTTACAGTGCAAATCACCATTCTAAAAAATGATTTCCTTTGTTTGCTAATGAACTACTGTCTACTGAATACAACACAGACCTTCATATTCAAGCCTTATTAGCAAGCAATAGTGGTGGTTTTAAAGAGAGTGTGATTAACTTTGGACAAATTTACCAAAAGTAACCATAAAATTCCAAAAAAATGGCTGAAACACAAATTATCATGCTATAAAGGAGACCCACTGTCGCCCTTGGGAATCAAATTATAAGGGGTACCTTTGTTTTTCCACCATATAAATTCGTCATTGGAGGTGGATCAAACACTCATTAAAGAAAGATACTCACTCTGTGGAAATCACCATTCTAAAAAATGTTTTATTTGTTTATTTTACCATTGTATATACAAAGGGCCCAATTTCTATCTTATTGTTGTTTCAAATGATTGGTTTATTGATTCAATTTTAGTAAAAGTCTTAATGTTCATAAAACTGTATAACTTCACTTTATGTTTTTTCTTTTTTTTTTTTTTTTGATAAGTAAAAATGTATTAGAAAGCGTTCAAAAGGGGAACGCGTCACAAGAGCTGTACAAAAACTGAAAAAAGCGAAAGGGGAAGTCCTACGGACCCAAAGACCACCAAAAGTCCACGATCTCATCTAAAGATATACAATCTCTCCCATAGCCCAACTAAAAAGAGAACAAATAATAGAAAACTTCAATGCCCCAATGGAGATTTCCTCCCCATCAAAAGATCTTCTATTCCGCTCTTTCCAAAGGCTCCACCAAACACAGAGAGGGATCACCCTCCAAAAATCGCAAACATGAGCCCCCACCCTTTGGCCCCTCCAAATGTCAATCAAGTCCCTTGAGGTCCGGGGCATAACCCACTGGACGCCAAAAAGGCCCAAAATATGGCTCCAGCAGTCCTGAACCACAGGACAATGCAAGAGAAGGTGATCCACAGACTCTCCGTCATTCTTACACAGACAAAACCGATTCACATTGACTTGTCTTCTCTTCCTCAAATTGTCCAGAGTCAAGATCCTACCCCAAGTTGCAGTCCAAACAAAAAAGGCCACCATAAGAGGAGCCTTCGAATGCCAAACCGCTTTCCACAGAAAAGTGGTACCATGAAACCCAGAGAGGCAAAAAAAGAAAGACTAGACCTGAAAATTTCCCTGCAAAGAAGGCACCCAAGTCAAAGAATCCGAACCAGTGCCATCCACCTCCTGTCTATACAAAAGGTCCAGCAAGCCAGTGACGTCATCCAACTCCCAATCCTGAAAGGATCGCCGGAACTGCACATCCCAAGACAACCTACTCCTATCAAGACGATAGCAGTCAGCAACCAAAGCATGTCTATCAACAACAATCCTGAACAACCTTGGGAACAAACAAGACAATGGACGATCCTCGCACCAAGAATCCTCCCAAAACCGGACGTCCCTTCCTTCACTTTATGTTATCAAATGATGTTCACTAGTCCCTATCTTTCCTAATAACAAATGATGACCTCGAATAACAATCCATTAACTTCCCATTCTTTTTTTAAGTTCAAGGAAATCATTCCTTCTTTAATTAGGTGAAAATAAATTAATCCTTGTGCACCTGCTTAGTTCGTTGGAAGGCAGAAGAATCACATAAACTAAAGGCTTCACCCTAGTTTAAGACCCGCAAAGAGTAGAGCACTGATACAAACCTTTAAGTTAGAAGACCAAGAAAAGCTCGCCCAGATATGCTCATGTTACCAGCAACGATTGTAAAATTCCTAATTATTTACATATTCATTGTTAGTTCTTCTAAGCTCTATCACATTCATTTTTAGTTGGTGGGCATTTGGCGGAGTGCTTCCCTGTGTATATCATCTATGAAGACTGAAGAGATGTAGGAGCTGTGAAATGTATGTTTATGGGTTATTCTAGATCTAAAAGGGACCCAAGTGTTGGAATCCAGATATTCGTCTTCGTTATTTAAAGAAACGATGTTACCTTTTTTTAAGGTACGCCATTCTTCTCCTCAAACAACTCGGCATTAAACAATGGTGTTATAGTAGCTCGATCTTCAGTACCTTTGCGATTGCTTGTGACCTTGGACCCAACATTACACCATCCATTCCTACTATTTTTTTTTTTTTTTTTTTGATAAGTAAAAATATTATAAAAAAATGCTTAGAAGGGGAGCGAAACCCATGCAAATACAAAAAACCACAAAGGCCTCAAGCCTTCAAAGAGGCTAAAAAATCAACTACTTCCTCCAAAGAACAATGATCTCTTCCTGAAACCCAACAATAAAGAGTAGAAATAATCGAGAATTTAAGCACCGAAATCGACAAAGCCTTTCTTTCAAAGAATCTCCTATTCCTTTCAAGCCATAAACACCACCACACACAAAGCGGCGTAGCCCTCCACGCATCCTGACTGAGAGCCCCCACAGGGCAACCTCTCCACGCCTCAATCAACCCTCTAGCAAATCCAGGCATAACCCAAGAAACACCAAATAAGCCAAGCATCAAAACCCAACACTCTCTAGCCAAAGGGCAATGAATAAGAAGGTGATTCACAGACTCCTCATCACTAAGACACATAGAGCAACGGTTGACCACCACCTGGCTTCTCCTTCTCAGATTATCCTGGGTTAAAATCCTACCCAGGACCGAAGTCCACACAAAGAAAGCCACCTTAAGAGGAGCCTTGGATCGCCAAACAGACTTTCAAGGGAAACAAACTCCAGGAACAAAAGAGAGGCACTTGAAGAAAGACCTCACCTCAAAGCGCCCCTGAGAGTTTGCAATCCAAGACCAACAGTCTGAATCCTCCTCCACAATCCTCTGGCGATATAACAACTCCAAGAAACGAATGACCTCCTCGATCTCCCAATCCTGAAAGGAACGCCTGAATCGAACATCCCAAACCAGTCTTCCATTATCAAGATGATAACAGTTAACCACCATGGCCTGCTTATCCATTGCAGTCAATCATTGATGGTCAAAGGTCAATAGAGATCAACTTATCAAAACAAAATGGAGATCAAAATGCTCTCGCTTCTCAATAGTCTTCTTCACCTGAGGTATCCCAGCATTGAGACTTGAGAGGATCCTCTTTCTGAGGAGCTTCCTATTACTCTTTGGAAAGGCATTTAGTCACACACTCTAGTCCTCATATCAAACACTTCTTTTCTTTTTTCCCATTGGTCTCCTAGTTCACTCTTTCCTATCATTGTCCCTCATTCACATGTTCAGGCATCGTCCACTTCTAATAATGATTTCTGAGACAGCCTAATACTGCATTAGGCTCATAATCATATGTTGTATTACGCTCATCCATGTATTCTACCTCACTGACAAAAGCATCTATCCCTCAAATTTCTATTGAAAAGATATTATGATAGCTGCAAGAAATAGGATATACAAATATCGAGTTAAACAAATGATCTATTCTTACAACAAGAGAATGGACATCCTAATTGGGGTTAAAGTAAACTACTGTTTCAATTTAATAAATTATGTCAACAACAAAAACATTAATTCCTATGCAAAAGGTTCAAAAGACCATACCGATTCCTTAATTTCTGTCAAAAATTTGCATATATAAATTTATGTTCATATACACACGCAAGCCCGCGCAAGTGCGCAAGCGCTCACACACGCGTATATATATATATATAAATACAGAGAGAGAGAGAGAGAGAGAGAGAGAGAGAAATGAAAAATAACATGGAATTAAGCAAGCTGCGTAATGAACTTACATGCGTGCATGAATATCTGCCGCGTACACTTCAACAAGCATTGTCGCTCAATGTAGTATTGAAGCACTACCTTCATGATAACAAAAGCAAAAAAAAAAAAAAATGAAAAAGGGAAACAGGTTGCTCTTAGGATATAAGATTATAAGAGAATCAGTGGATAATTGATATGGTAAGACAGTAAACATATATTTCAAATCTACAACCTGATTAAACTAAGACTTGTGTCCATCACCATGCAGCTATACTAAGTGATAAGGGGAAGATTGTGAAAAGATGGAAGAATTATTAACAAATGGATCCTCAATCAATAAAACTCTGCCAATTCAGAGATAAATGGGTATTCAGAAGAAGCTACAATATAGTGCTGCCATGTTAACATACCTTAAAAGGACAAAGATATAATACCAGACGAGTTTTTCAACTATGTGTAATGAATAGTAAATATAAAAGGATAACCATTTTGATGTACTAACTTCCCTCTCAAAATTGCTTTTTTAGGCTGGAAGCAATCTAGGAATTATCCCAACCACTTTGACCTGATTAAAAGGTGTCAAATCATACCCTTCATATGCAAAAGGGAAGGTAAGTCGATGAATCACTTATTGATGCATTTTCCAGTTGCTTGGAATCTGTGGCCCCTCCTGCATAGAATTCGTCTGTTTTTATGCCTAGCTCTATACTGAGCAATTTACTAGTTGGGAGAGGGTGCAGAGTAGATAGGAGAGTCGAGCAATTTGCACTTGCCAGGCAACATAACATCATTATGAGTCAAATAATGAACCCAAAAAAAAAAAAAAAACTGTTTACATTGAACCAGTTAGGCATCAAAATTAAAATGAGTGCAGGAGGTAAGGTACAGCTAGGGTAAATTTGTGAAAAGGAAGAAATATACAAACCAAATAAAGACGTTCCTGAACTATAGGATCATCGGCTAGACTGTTGCACTCAATTGATCTTTTTACAAGAATATATGACTGTACCTCATCCAAACACTGAAACAAATGAAAACTTTATTAGTTTCTACACAAATAGAATTGAGTTGAGAAACTGTACATCAAGATTTCCTAGTATCATAGTTCATATAATAAACCATCATGCATAGAGTGCAGCCATCAAATATTTTGGGCATTTAGTTAAAATAGCTGAAATTAAATTCTCCAAACAATACATTAAAATATATATATTACAAACAAGAATGCTTTCAAGGACGCGTGCATTTAGTTAATAAGCTGATAATAATCTCTCAAATTCAAACTCCTGATAATAGTGAATCCTATCCATGTATTTCCTGTTTCCAACCCTTCCCATTATAATCTTTCCTTATTCCTTTCTTTCCAATCAAGTCTTCAAGCTTCTTGAGTTTACGGTGTGCTCCCCTTCTATTCTACATGCTTTTGTTGTAAATTAAGGATTGTTCACAACATAATTTATGATTGTAGTTCGGTGAGATTTTATTGTTTTGTACTTCTACTTGCATGGTGATGATGAAATAATTGTTAACCAAATGATGGCTCCATGTTTTATTCGTATAATTTTGCAGAACATCCAGGGAGCAATTGATAACTCAAATTTGGCAATTAGAATCCTAATCCCACAATTAGAGAGAGAAAAAAAAAAAAAAATGAAGATTACAAAAATAAAATAAACATGCAATAAAAAACTATAACCAAAATGGTGTAAATTAAAGATTACAACAAGCTTACCAGAATAGAACTAATTTTTAGTGCCGTTTCTCTCAATTCAGGCTGTACAATCAATTGATGAGACCCGATGTTAACTTGGCGTGAATTCAACGCCTCCCTTGATTTCTGGTTTGGACTCTTGAAAAGAGAAACAGTGTCCAAGAACCACGAGTGATTTTCTTTCAACTTCTCTACCTGAAAGAATACATACATTATATCTACCAAACACACGTGTAAAGATATGTGTGTATATACACATGTATATAACTGAAATGTGAGGAGTGAGAAAAGCTTATACCAGATTTGGAGAAAGGTCGGAGGAGAGAGAAGCGTTTTCGAGTTCAGTTAGTAAGAGAGAGAAAGAGTCCCACCATAGTGAGGCGTCGACAGATTTAGAGTTCGCCGTTTGATCGGCCGCAGTGGAAGTTGTGGCCATTGGTGTAGTCTCTCTTGATCACCTCTCTGTAATTGGAAGAGACCACTCCAAGTTCTAAACCCTAGAGCGCAAGCCCGCGCTTCTGCGTTTCGAATGTTGAAGAATGCACACACAATGCCTTCGCTCAACTCTCTCGAGTAGGGATGAGCAATATTTTGGTCAGGCCTAATTGAAAATGCTCAAGCGACCAACCACGGGGAGTCGGATGGGTTTAAGCAATGAAGCCTCCGCAGTCCACCCTAGGTTTAATTTGTTTGAAGTTGTTTTTTATTTTTTTATTTTTTTTTCTTCTTTGGAAAATTAACGGTTACAAAACTAACAATATACTATTTCACATATTTTTTTTTAGATGTGTATAAATTACTATGTCAATTTTTTTAAGATATATATAAATTAGAAATAGACTATGTAACTTTTTTTTAGATGTATAATTAAAATATACTTTGTCACATTTTTTTTGTTAAAACAAAATGTCACATTTTTTTTTAGATGAATATAAATCAGAAATAGACTGTCACATTTTTTGAGATGTATATAAATTATAAATAGATTATTTCACTTTTTTTTTAGAAGTTTATAAATTAAAAATAGACTATGTCACTTTTTTTTCTTTTTTTCTGTTTTTTGAGATGTATATAAATTAGAAATCGACTATGTCGCATTTTTTTGAGAAATAAAATGTGCACAAAACCATAACATAATTCAGTAAGGAATGAATGACGACATTTAACCCTTGAAGATGATTTGTTCCCAATTGGAAATTTGGGATGGTATTGGGTAATAAAATGTTAAAATCAAGTTTCTTAAGTAACAAGGGCGGTGTAGATTGTGTATCTCATCACAAATCCTTGATTTAAATGGTCAAGGATTTAAATCTTTATAAGAGCAAAAAATAATTAGGTAGACTCCCCGTTCATTTGCAATCATAACTTGAGTCAAATTGAATAGCATGAAAAAATTTAAATGGTCAAGGATTTAAATCTTTATAAGAGCAAAAAATAATTAGGTAGACTCCCCGTTCATTTGCAATCATAACTTGAGTCAAATTGAATAGCATGAAAAAATAATTTTGTCAATTATATAATAGAGTTATCTTGGGCCTTTTCATTTGTAAGTGTAAGAATGAGATAATCCTTCCCACGAGACCTTTCATAAAAAATAAAAAACCTTCCCTGAATGTGCTAGAGATTTGCTTTTCCATACATAATAAATATACATAAAATAAATTTAAGCATGTATATTTGTATGTAACCATTTGATGTGGTAGAAATTTGTTAAAAAGATATAATGGTCAAATTGCAATATCTTTTTTTTCTCTATTCAGCCAAACAGTTCCATACTATTCTTTGTGTGTAACCTTCCATGATCAACTTCAATACTTTGTATCAATGGAGCATAACCTTAGCCATAATTCATCTTCTGTCTGGGCTCCTCAAATTACAGTTATGACTTTTTGGAATTTCACCTCCTGTGTGTTTCCGTGCTAGGAAACAAATCAACATGTAAGAAGAAAAATGTTAACTAGTGTTGTGCTTCCTGTGTTTTTGCACAAAGACATGTCCACTCAAAAAATTAACAACCGCGCCCAAAATAAATTAACACATACAGAACATACATACATACATATATATATATTTTCGCAAGGTACATACAGAACAATTCATACACACGATTACAATCATTCCACTATGTCAATGATCATGATCACTCTCTCAAGCATGTTTTTCATTTTCGCTTCTCTTTGTTCCTTCAATGCCCTTTTTCACCTAGAATGTCAATTAATATCTTTCTTTTCGGACGATGCAACATTCACATACGCAATATTGGGAACAACCCAAGGTACCACAGTTAACCATGAGAAGAAAGGGGTGAAATGGGAGGAGCTTTGTGACTGGGATTGGGTTGGTTGAAGTACTTCCGCGGAACTGAGGGGATAGGAGGAAGTTTAGGGATAGGAGGAGCTCTAGGAATTGGAGGATTTGGTTTTGTAACAACTGGAGGGGGAGATGAAAGTTTAGGTGTTGCCGGTGGAGATGGAATGGGAGAGTTTACGGGTGGGTTAGCTTTTGGTGCCGGAGCAGGGGGGAGTGGCTCCTTGTATATTGGACCGGCTGGTGGCAGAGGTTTCTTAGGTGCTGGAATTGATGGAGGAAGTGGAACTTGAGGAATTGGTGGAGGAAATGGCTTATGAGGAAGTGGTGGAAGGGGTTTCTTATATGGAGGTGGCAGTGGAATAGGTGGTGGAAGTGGCTTCTTAAAAATTGGAACTGGAGGAGGAAGTGGCTTTTGCGTAGGTGGTGGAAAGGGCTTCTCACAAATTGGAATTGGAGGAGGGGACACCTCAGGAACAGGAGCAGGTGGTAGAAGTGGGTTATTGTAGATTGGAGCTGAAGCTGGTGGCGGAGTTGGATTCTTATAAACTGGAACGGGTGGAGGAAGTAGACTTGGAGAAACAGGAACAGGTGGTGGAGACAACTTCGTAGAAATTGGCACCGGGGGAGGAAGTGGCTTACGCATAGGACTAGGCTGTGGGACTGAACTTGGCGGCGGAAGTGGCATCTCAGGTACCGGGGCTGGTGGTGGAATTGAATTCACTGGTGCAGCTGGAGGAGGAGCCTCATGTGTTGGGGGTGGAGAAGATTCAACTGGTGTTCCTGGAAAAATCGGAAATTGTGGGAACCTGACGAAAGGCCAAAAGGTTGTGGAAGCACATATGACTGGGGAAAATTTAAGTTTTTCAGCCAGTCCTAAGGTGATTTTCCCATTGGCTTTGGACTTGAGGATTATCTTGGAGGTGTCTTCGCCATTGTGGGCTGGGCATGGTGCACCTGATGCATTGTGAAGCTGTGCGAAGCATTCCTCTTTCAATTCTTCATTTTTTAGAATTTCGTAAGGGAGTGACACTCTGAATTTTCCTTCTTCATCAACATCAGTGATCCCCCTTGTTTTGAGCTCTCCATCACTTGACTTGCAATTAATGGCAACGTGAAGCCCTGCACAAAATAAATGGACTATCATGAGGAAGAGATCTATAAACCCACCAGTGTTTCGAATGCAAAACAAAAAATGAGTGAATAAATTCAGATCCAGACACTGGGAGTTACTATAATTCTTCACTGTCAATGGATTTTCGTAACTATTATGATACAGTAATACTTTAGTTTATTTGGCTTAAAATAGTGGGGTCCAGAATTTGGATCACAAATCATGATGTGATGCCATACTTGAGCTACTTTCACAATGTGATCCCAAAAGTATGGTTTCATTATATTCTCCAAATGCAGGACCATACAACAGAAGGAAGGATAAACAAAAAATGATGTGGCATTCTGATGATGCAAGATGCATGCATGGTAAGTAAAGTTGTGATGCTAAAAATTAAACATACTAATCACAACGACAAATTATTGAGTACCCTTGAGTACTGACAATGTAGTATACCCGTTCAATAGTGAGTAATTATTTTCTATTTATAAAGCAAATGATAAGTTTTTATTAGACAGGAGTACTGCATTGTCACTATCAAACTCGACCATCACAAGATCAAGAACAATGCATATATGTTGCAAACATTATATTGTACCTGAAAATGCCTGGCTGGCCTTAATGTTGTTCTCTGCACAATCTGCACATTCTACATTTCCAACCACCTCAACCGTCTCATTGTTGCCGTAGCAGAAACTCACAGCCAAAACCAAAGCCACCCAGAAGCCCAAAATGGCTCCTCTGCAAATGGGAAGAACCCTCATTAAAAGTGCCAAACTTTAAGCAACTCAATAGTATGAGAGAGAGAAGAAATTGAGAAGCTATAAGTTTGTACAATGTGATTCAATGGGTTGAGAGATGAAATGAGTCTGACACAACATTTATAAGATATGGGAGTGATTCAAGAGGCTTTGCAAATGCAAAACTAATGGTTGCAGATGAAGTTACAGGGACCCAAGCATGTAATTTATTTCGAGAAATTAAATAAAAGGAGTGAACACCGGCTTTGTTGATCGAAGAAGTAAATATGAAATTGAATGAGCATTCAAACGAGCTTGTGCATATCTCTTTGTATGATCTGTAAATATTATATACCTACCAGATCTCAATAGCATCTCTCCTAAGAAATTAAATGCTCATCAATTTAGGTGAATCAACAAGTACCCTTATGAAGCTATAAGCTTCTGTAATTTGATTTCTAGGGTTTTGAGTGTTCATTAATTTGAGTCTTCACAAGACAATTTACATGATAAAAAGGTGTTCCCAGAAACTTGCCAACACTGCAGTAGTTGTAGCAGATGAAGTTAGGGACCCAAGCAGATGACAAGTTGATGAGAAGTTAATGGACAGTGAGAATGGGCATTAAAATGAACAGTTGAATCTCTTTTTTATTATTTGTAAGCCTACCTACCAGTTATTTTTTGTAGCTTTCACAAAAATAAAGTCTTTCACATACTTAGGTCATATGTCAACATTCAGTGGTTGTTGGGTGTAACCATTATTTACTTCTCCTAATATTGCTTAAAAAGGAAACATTAATTTGATTTTTAATTTCACAAGTTCCTATTGAGTTTAAAAAATTTAATTTGACGATAGATTTTGATTAATGAGTGTTAATTCTTTGATATGCAAATGTACTTGCTACGTGATACGGTGCGATTTTGAATCTGCATATAGATTAATCGGCTAAAATTAAGTTGTGTCATTTAAAATTATAATTCATTTTCATTAAAATTTATTACCAAGACAAGAAAAAATATATATAATGAAAACATTTCCTGAAAAATTGCATTTCTTGAAAACCCTTCAAACAAATTTGGTCAGAGCCACTTTAGTCTAGTTGGATTAATTCAGGTGATTACCTTTTTGTTTTTTTTTTTTTTTAGTTAACCCGGGGTGTCCCGAAGACACCAACTCTTAGAGCTCCTAAAAAATCTGACTAATTTTCGAGGATTCGGAAGGGTGCCTTCCCACCCAAAGCGGCTAAGTTACTGCATTTTGCATTGCTAATGCATGACCAACATTTTTTTTTGGTATTATTAATTTAGCATAGGCCTGAGGTCTTGTTTGGTCCAGATTGATTTTCCAAGCTGAGGCCCAGCCCAAGTTTAAGAAAAGCCCAGATCGGTTAAAGAAAACAACCAAAGAAGCCCGTCGTTGAAGTCATAGGCTCATAGGATAGATCTATTGTTGGTGGTAGTTGCCGACGAGTCATGTTATTATTGGTCACTAGACATCATTGATCCTACAGGAGGCTAGCATCAAACAGCATGAGCTGTTGCTAGCATTTGTCTTTGACACGGAAAATTATGGAATAATGATTCTCAAGGTATTTATTCAATGCGTTTAAAGAAAATAAATAAATAAATTCGATTGGCATTTTCGGTTTTAATTTTTGCTCTAAATAACATTTTCGAAAATTTTATTAGGTTGGTTTTCTAAGGAATCGCTAAATGACACGTACATCCCTTAAATTTTCACATACATTAAAATTAGATAATTCAGATCTCACAGCAGAGACGGATACAATCTATACTCAGTTGGGGCAATTGCCCTAGCTGATTTTTTTTTTTTTTGGTACAATATACATCATTAAGGAGCAGAGACGGATACAATCTATACTCAGTTGGGGCAATTGCCCTAGCTGATTTTTTTTTTTTTTTGGTACAATATACATCATTAATTTTTCCTTTTTTCAATTCTATAAACAACTTACTGGTTGTCCTGACAATGAGCTAAATTGGACCTTTACAACATTAATATTAACTAGTTATTGGAAATTATTATTATTATTTTTTTTTATAAATAAAATTGTATAAAAGCACTCAAAGGGAAGCACATTCCAAGAGAACTACACAAGGTCAAATAGGACCTCTAAACATTCAAGGATCCCAAAAATTCGACCATCTCCTCTAAAGATCTATGATATTTCCTACAATCCAACAAAAAAGAGTAAAATAGAATAGAGAACTTAAGCATAGAAATATGATTCTTTTTTCTTTCGAAAGATCTCTTATTCCTCTCAAGCCAAATACACCACCAAACATACAAAGGCGTAATCCTCCAAACATCGCGGACTTGGGCCCCCACCATACAACCTCTCAAAGCCTCAATTAACCCCTCTGAAGGATTTGGGCATGTAAATTTTCTTTGCAAAAAACATTATTTAGTGCTTGTTAACTAGTTATATATAAATTCTTCCATAATGTTTTGGTATTTATTCAGTAATAGGAGAAATTATTGATTACAATGGCACAACCAATCATTACAAATACTCTACTAAATAAATGTTCTCTCAACAGTTTAGTATATTGTGATGATTCCAACCATTTTACTTTAACAAAGTGTTTGTATTGATCGGTTGTCCCAATAACTTGGCACAACCTTTATAACCAATAATTTCTCTCCAGTAGATCTTGTAAACCCAATCATGATATAGAGTGACCTAAGTATATCTCAAACTTCAGCAACTCGCAATATAAGGAATGTAACTATATCAACAGTTTCACATTTAGATTTTACTTGGCTGGAGTCGCTCACAGATTTTAGGCTTCTACGAATGTTTCTTTCTTGAAAGAGGCACTTAAAATGTTACAACATTTTGGGGCACATGTGAGTCTAGTTCATATCTACAAATCACTTCATGGAATTGGTGTTGAAGCGATTGCCTCCCCCTCCCCATTTTTAACCGAAATGGAAAGCTTCTCACATAGGTCTCAGCATCAGCTGGATGAAGTGTTTGGCTCCCCATTTTTGTTGAAATTTCAGTGAGTATATCACCACTCATGCTTTATTATAGGCTCAAAATGCAACTATCAAATCTATGTATCTACTACATTTAGTACAACTATTTATATAAGACAGTACGATAACAAACTTTCCATGTAGCAATGATTGGTGAAGTAAGTTTTTGGGTAGAACATTAGTATTGCACAACTCTTTACTTCATGGGATCCACAGTCTAAACATCACTGATCATCCAACCCTTTAATTGCATGATCAAGAACTATATACTTTAGAATTATTATGAGAAAAATATTTATATTATGCTTTGGAATATTAAATCGGTGTCTTAGATTTGAAATTGAAGAAAATGTAGTTCAAAATTTGTATTAAATTTTTTCCAAACCAAAATTCAAAGTGCCGATTCGGTACTGGCAAACATATCCTTAGAATTATCTGAATTATAAAATATAATTACCCAAAAACCAATTTTCATTTTCCAATAAAATGAAACAACAAATTTAATTTTTCTGTTTGCTATCTGAATTTGATTGCATATAGAAGTTGTAAACAAATAAGTACTTGTAGTGACATAAAATATTGGACGTAGTATTATTTTGTAGGCAAGTTCATTTGGAAATTTACAAGCTCCAAAATGCATTTGAGAAGATGTCAAGATCAATTCACACAAGCCAACCTTCATTTTATCAATTCATACTCTCTTTGTTTCTCTCCTCAGTCTCATGTTCTTTAGAACAGCTTTCTCTATGTACCTTGAAGGCTTTATTTCAATCGTAAAATTTCATTCCAAGCCCTTCAATGGTACCCAAAGCTAGCGATATTCAACATAGACATGGGAAGATTAGTAGAGTAATCTAAGAATGAGGAGTGTAAGGTGGCAAGGGAGGGAAGTATCCGACCTTTGGGTGATGAAAGTGCTTAGGAGGAAACTTGGGAAAATGAGGGACTTTTGGAAAGGGTTTCTTATATATAGGAGGGATTTCTGGGAATGGAGGAAGAGGCTTAGAGATTGGTTCCAAACTTGGAACCTGTGGTGGAAGTGGCTCTTCATAGATTGGAACCGGAGGTGGAAGCGGCTTTTTGTATATTGGAACTGGAGGTGGAAGTGGTTTCTCATACACTGGGACTGGTGGAGGAAGTGGCTTTTGGTAAATAGGCACAGGAGGTGGAAGTGGCTTCTTGTATACAGGCACAGGAGGTGGAAGTGGCTTTTTGTATATAGGTACCGGTGGAGGAAGTGGTTTCTCGTATATTGGTACTGGAGGTGGAAGTGGCTTCTTGTATATAGGCACGGGAGGTGGAAGTGGTTTTTTGTATATGGGTGTTGGTGGTGGAAGTGGCTTCTTGTATATTGGTACTGGAGGTGGAAGTGGCTTCTTGTACATAGGCACGGGAGGTGGACATGGTTTCTTGTATATTGGTACTGGAGGTGGAAGAGGCTTCTTGTATATAGGCACGGGAGGTGGAAGTGGTTTTTTGTATATAGGTACCCGTGGAGGAAGTGGCTTCTTGTATATTGGTACAGGTGGTGGAAGTGGTTTTTTGTATATTGGTACTGGAGGTGGAAGTGGCTTCTTGTATATTGGTACTGGAGGTGGAAGTGGCTTCTTGTATATTGGTACAGGTGGTGGAAGTGGCTTTTTGTATATTGGTACTGGAGGTGGAAGTGGCTTCTTGTATATTGGTACAGGAGGTGGAAGTGGCTTTTTATATATTGGTACTGGAGGTGGAAGTGGTTTCTTGTATATTGGCACAGGAGGTGGAAGTGGTTTTTTGTATATAGGTACTGGTGGAGGCAGTGGCTTTTCATATATTGGCACAGGTGGTGGAAGTGGCTTCTCATATATAGGTGTTGGTGGTGGAAGTGGCTTCTCGTGAATAGGTGTTGGTGGAGGCAAAGGCTTGCCATAAATTGGGGGGAAGAACTTTGGATGGAGGTGATGATGAGGAAATGGAGGGAAAATCTTTGGACCAAAGGTTTTCTTTGGTGGAAGGTAAAACTTGGGCAATGACTTCTTCCATGGGTGAGGTTTGTGTAAAGGTGGCAATTTGGGTAAAGGAGGGTGCTTGAAATGAGGCCGCAAGAAGGCTGAAGTGCAAGTAACCGACGAGAATATCAGTTTTCCGGCTAGGCCAAAGGCGTGTTTTCCATTGGTTTTAGACTTGAAGACTATCTTGGAGTCCTCAAGGCCATTGTGAGCAGGGCATGGCGCTGCCGATGCACTGTGAAGCTGTGCATAGCATTCCTCTTTCAATTCTCCATCTTTTAACATCTCCCGAGGAAGAGAGACCTTGAATGTCCCTCCTTCGTCGAGCTCTCCAACTGCTCTTGTTTTGAACTCTCCATTTTTGGGCTTGCAATCAATGGTTACGCCAAGTCCTGCACAGAGTAAAGCAGTCGTATAGACTATAGTGTTAACTGTTATATTGTCAGTGCGACACATTTACTGGCTTGAATGCAAATCAAGACAGTGAAGACCTTTTTATTGCTTAACTGACGATGTACCATACATTGAGCATTTAAGCTAAACCATATATGATCAAGAACAACAGATGCGGCATCTAAAACCAGTTTAACATACCTGAATAGGCCTGAGTGGGCATAATATTAACCTCACCGCAATCTGAACAGCCTACATTCCCTGTTACATGAACTATCTGATCATCGACGCCATAGCAGAAGCCGATGGCAAATGCCAAGAACAACCAGCACCCGAGAAGAGCCACTCGACGAAGTGAATGAACCTCCATTTGAGAACTCCCCATAAGCCAGCTCTGTGCTTCATTCCCAAAGGCTGACCTTGCTATATATAATGGTCTTAGGGTGGGAAGTGGTTTAAGAGGCTCAACCACATGCACTTAAGGGGCTCACATGAGGTTAGGGACCCATTGGAAGATTAGTAACAGCTCTCAGAGCTGGCAAAGCATCAAATTAATTTGATAGGTCAAATAGCCATATATGCATTATCTTCATTGAATGAGATCTCAACTGCACGGCTCCGTCTTTTTATGTTGATCCATGTATATCCATCTGTACATATAATTAATCTCTGGTCTCTCATTATTACTTCGGTTTAGAAAAAAACAAAATTAAATTGGTTAAATGCCATGCTTTTGCCTAAAGAACCAAATACTAGTGCCTTCACCATTATTGAGTTCTGGTGTGACACAGTTGGGATTTAAGAGGCAGTTATGGAGATAAAGTAACCTATCAAGTTCACGTGAATAAACAAAGTAAAATAACACCTCTATGCCAAACTAAGATGACTATTAATAGGCCATTTCATGCACCTCATATATATCTAGCACTAGTAAACAATATCTTCAATTAATCTTGTTTCTCTAATTGTTAGCGTAGTTACCACTATTTAACCTCATTCAATAAATGATATGAATCATCACCCACACGAGAAAGCGATCATATTATAGTGACACTGTCCAAAACATTTCCGAGAACAATTTCACAGACCTTTCTTCAATAATTAGTTCAATGTTGATAATGAGTGAATTGTCACTTTCTCGTAATTATGCAAAACCGAGACTAAGATAGCTGTGTTAGGAAGGGTTGGTCACAGTCCAATTCCATAGTTCCATTTAACCGATAAAGACACGAGAGGGCCATATTTCCCAGCAAAAAGAGAAATACAAGTCAAAAGATAAATATATTACCAACAAATTAAAGCACTATGCATTATTGGCATGTGACGCTTTTTATGTCAAGACTCAAGATATGAACAATCTCTCTACACGTAACCCTCAAGAATCAAGATGACAAACATTTATGGGTTTGGAAACTGGAGATGTCTATGTCATAATTAAGCAACTTTTGCTGGTAATGATTTAGTGAGCTGGTTGGTTGAGTGATATATACAGTTACTGTGATTTATAGTCATTTAAACTACTTATGCAGGATGCCCAGATAATCCGACAAAAATTGATTTCTGTCTGAACTTCTCTTAATTTTGAACGCTAACATTAAAGTCTTAGGTAAGCTTTTTAATTCCATTAGTCACCTGAATGAAGCCATTTCGAAAATTTGGCAAAGGCATTTTCATATTTTTAGAAAACAAGAAGTTTCATTTGTAAGATGGATATGATGACGATCAATATAATGAATTTCCTACGTTAAAGAGTTAGTCAATTCAAAAGGAAATCCAAACAAATCCTTAATGTTTTATAGCCAAAAAAGGAACTGCATCTGTCTTATATATGATTTTCCTTGTAATTACTGTAGCATCACTTCATTGATAACAATATTTTTTCATCAAATAATGTTTCTCTCAACACAATTACAATAGCATCACTAATGTTAAAGATAGAGTTTCCAGGGTTATGGGAGTCTTTCACACAATCAAACCCTAAACTGCTTCTCTCAACACAATTAAGTTACCGGAACGTAATCTTAAGGTTCAAAACAGCGCTAAAGGCACTTCAGAGGAAGGAGCAGAACAGCCTGAACCCTCACAAGATTGTCACCTCAAAATGAACTTTAATGGTAATGGCTATTTTCGTTTTTCTGCATAAGATTAGGTCATATGAACTAGGAAATCATATATAACACTGTTAGAATAGCAATATCTCCAAAACCTTACCCCATTAAAGAATTGACCAATGGTATATATAAAAAACTTGTCCTATCTTAGAACATCAATTATCCCAAAACTTAAACTGCCAAGAAAATCACCCAACAATATATTTTAATCTCTCGCAAACTCCACAGCTCATCATTCAGAGAACATACCAAGAATAATTGAATTGAAAAAGAGAGTCAGTGTCTACTAGGAGAAAAACTCTTACACCTGAACAAAAATGTAATTTTTCCTACCCCACATCTCTGTTAGTTTCCGCTTTGAAGGATGGCTCCACTTTCATAATCTCCAAGAAAATGAAATGTAGAAGTTTCATCCTCAAGCTACAACAGAGTAAAGTCTTTTCTGGTATGGGTTTGTTCAAAAACAAAACCACTTCACCCCTTGGACATTGTTAAAGTCTCCGGAATTTGTGCAATTAAACTAGGAGAGCATCGGACCTACTTCTTCTTCTTCGATTTTATGGACACTGACTGAGTATACGCAGTTCCCTGAACAGGAGGAGGTAAAAGGAACTATGTCAGTTAGCAATAACAATACTACTAAAATTCTCAATTTCAAGTTGAAGAATCATTTAAACCCATGACTCCAATATCAGAATACAAAATTCATATCCAAAACTCTTCCCAGTAAATGAGATTAGGAAAACAACAACAAAAATTAAGCGTGATAATGCTTGAACTACACACCTGGAGCCATTCATCCATCGAGGAATCAGTGGTCCTAGTTCCAACTTCTACCTTCGGCGCCCTCTTAGCTTTCTGTGTATTAACATAAATATAAGAAGACGAAAAAATTAAAGCAATTGTTTCAAAGAGGAAACATATTTAGAGCATAGTTAAATACAAAATGAAAACCATTACGAGAAGTGAACAGGTAAGTGTCAGCAAAAAGAAGATACAGAAATTATTATGGAGTAGAAGAAGGGTCCAGAATAATATATGATGTCATGAACAGATGAAAAATGGATAACTAAGCTGCCTGTCTCTCTCAGGTAATTAAACTTTTGCCGGATCTGAGCCCAATGGCGCATGTTGATCACCCCCAGCAGCAATTCAGAAACCACTTTCAAAACCCATCCCCCACACAAAAATAAAACAAAAAGATTTATACAAACAAATTTCTAGTTATACCCTTCGATTTCCCCCCTTCCGAAATCCACTTTCCTTTCAAATTGTCCATTCCAAGAATGAACGGATGCATTTTTAGATAAGGAAAAGTTAAAATAATGTAATGGTGAAATTTAGATTATCCAATTAAAAATACTTCCTTTGTCAGGTGTCAGATTAAATGCATAAAGCAACTGACACAAAAGTAGGTAAATGACACAAGTTTTTATTATACACGGTAAATTATATGAATGGGAAAAAGTTAGTACCTTGGAAAGATGCTGTATCTGACTTCGTATCCACAACCCAAGAAGGGCTACAAGAGTGATTCCAAGGACGAACAGGATAATAGACTCAATGCCAAGACTACCAGCCTCACTAACTTCAATGGTACCATTGTAGAACGTACTTTGGTATGGATTCTGATCTATATCATAAAAAATGGTGCCCACAAGATCAAATGTTCCCGCCTGCAACAGAGAGAATAATTATATAGTAAATGCCTAAGCTCAAGCAAAAGATTTTGGGATTGACAAGGAGCACAAAATTAAAATACTGAGTATTCCAAAAAACAATATGGATGCAAGGATTACCACAGAAATTCAAATACCTGCAAAAATTTGCTGACAGAAAATATGTATGGGAAAGCAGCCTGACCTGAAGGAGGAACTGATGCGTTGTTAAACGCCTAGAAAAAAGAAAACATATAAATGAGTAACCAACTGGCTGAGCCAAATTATAATAGTAACAGCTCAAACATTATACTGACATTAACAAGAAGGCAGTTTGTTGCAAGGTATGTGAAGTGTGAACAAGAAAAGAGGCAATTCAGGAATTTCACATGGAGCATTTTGTGGACCTCAATCTACTCAAGTTTTAGTCCAATTTGATTCTATTTAAGGTTAACATGCTGATAATTCAATTCTATTCATGTTTTCTTATATATATGTGTGTGTGTGTGTGTGTGTGTGTTCAGTCAAGAGTATTTTAGAACATTAGCTAGATATGGACGGTAGTAGCATTCCACTCTGTGTAATGTCAGTCATATTACACTACAGGATCTTTTATGGAGCTTTTAGGGGGGATAGAATAGTCTTAGTTGTCACTGTTGAAGTTTCCTACTTTTGGAGTCTTCCACCTACATTATTGACTTCTAAGTTGTAACCCATGAAAGTCCGAATGCTGAAAGTGAGAGAGCACCAAATCTTTTAGAGGGGGTATAGATCTTGAAATGCTTACCCATGCTAAAGCTCATGTTAAATCTTCCACCTATATACGTATGGCCAAGGGGACCACCTTGCACTTTGGCAAGGCAAACGATTCATGGCCGCGTGTCATCCGTTGGTTGAACACGTTATAGAAGAAAAAGGCCAATTCTTTTGTGAGCTTCTAGATCTATGGTTTCAATCAGCTAGTTCAAAGAATATCAAATCTTTCTACACGACATCACATAGACTCAAAATACAGGAACACAAAGTACTCTCACGAGAAGTCAACATAAAGAGTAAGATCGGACCAGTATACCACTGTATTATACCAACTGCTGGAACACAAAAGGTAATATAATTTACTGCTCCGGTGCTCCCTATAACCGTTAAGACAGTTTCTCGCGGAAATTTGGGCACAATCTGCTCACAGACCCAAATATATTATTGTTGTTCTATGAAGTAAACCTGTCTTGACCAAATGCTTTTTAGAATTCTACTGGCAAAAGGATGAAATGCAGCGGATTCATGTGAACCCTAAGTATAGGCAACAGGTTGTTCAGACCCAGCCCAACCCAGGAAAATGGGCCTCGGCCCTGTTGGGCTTTGAATGATCAACAGTTAGGGTGAGTCCCAGAGAGGAGAATCCTAAGCCCAAGCCCAGCTTGGCTAGCCGGGTGGGCAGGCCGGCCAGGTATTTTTTAGCTAACACACCAGCAGGATTCATGATTATGTAAAAAAGTTCTCGGCATTCACCCCCCTTTCTTAATATCTTATTGAATATTTTTATATAAAACTTACAATTTATAAGTTGTAAAGAATATATATATATAACTTACATAGTAGTCTTTTTTTTTTATAAGTAACTTACATAGTAGTCTTTACAAGTTTATAACTAATACATATTCTTATATATATATATATATAGATTAGTTTTATGACTTATATACTAAATCTATTACAAGATTAGTTTCTAAGTACACATTTATAACTTACATACATTATGCATTTAAATTATATTAATAATATATTCAAAACAATGGTTCTTTTTATGGACATCAAAATTGATGGATTAGTCACCACACTGATGCTTGTCCGAGCAAAGAGTTGTTTTAAGTCTCCAAAAGACATTCTTTTGACAAAATAAATCACTCAAACCGCCTTCGACGGCTTATAATGCATAGATCTTGCAAAAAAAAAAAACTCCCAATTTTTTTTTTTTGTAATTATTCATTGTACAAAAGAGCACAAGGTTAACCATCTGATGTTTTTGCCACACAATAAAAAAATGCACAGGCTAACTTGCTAGGTGAGTTCAGGCTGAACCATGACCTTTCTGTTGATAATTAGTGAATCTGAATTCAAATTCATATTTTAATGTCAAGATCCATATCCAGATACTGGATTTAAATCCCGATAGGATCCTATGGATAGGATCCATATCTAGACATCTGACGCATATAATCTAAACAAGATATTAATCGAATTTAATAATTTATGCTTTATTTGGGCTACATACCAGTTAAATCCCGATTGGTTTCATGCTTAAAAATACCAAGATTCCAACAGGTTCCGTGTTGGATATTTCAAGGAATATCCATATTCAACACACTTTAGAATTCGTATTCACAATTAACATCCAAGAACGTTAAATTGGACTTCAGATTGGATCTTGGTAAAACCCGATCCATTTCAAGCCCTATATATTGTTGCCACTTAGAACTTTCATTGGGGTCATTGCTTGAATCACTCATAAAATGTTCACTGTCAAGCATGAGAACCGAGTTCAAACCCCTACCTTAACTATAGTTTGTGCAAATAATGCCCAATGCTAGGCCTATACCTAGTCCACCCCCTTCTAGCACCTAAATTAACCTAGACTGCTCCGGGTAATTTGTTGGGAGTTGTCAGCATGCTCACAAACACAACCTCCAAATTTCTTCAGGAGAACCAAAAATACGAAAGGAAATAAAAAGCCAAATATAAACAACTTTGAGACATATTTGTCATCAATGTTGTATTAATCAAATTTTAAGCATCAAACAACTTGTTTAGATCCCCTATGCGAAAATCAGGCATGCACTGTCAGTAGACCAATACCATAATTACCTGTGAAGAAAGATTTTGAATCAGCATACGATGATCAAAAGGATAATTAACACTGGCCTTAATTGCTATGACATTAACACTCGATTCCCCTGTTTTAACAATCAAAAAGTAATAAGTGAGATCAGCACTCCGGGTACCTGATAACACTAAATAAAGTTACAAAAGTGCACGTAAGAACACAACTACACAATAAAAAACAATATTGAAATTTCATAAAATCACATCTTAAACAGCAACACTCTACCAATAATATCAAGGTCTACCACTCTACCAACCTGGGATGAAACATTAAAATATCAACAAATTAGACTGCAAAGAGAACCAATTTATTACCCTCATTTTTCATTCCAACGAGAAGTTCACTCTCTTCCCCTGCAACCACCACTGCAAAAGGAAAAACCAAAATAAAGTGTCTCTCAAAAGGTATCTCTATTTTGCAAAATAAAAAGAACAACGGAATCACTCAGAGGTGAAGAACTCTGTGTATGTAACATATCAGATTATTACATCTTGAAGGATTCTTTGGGAAAACACAAATTGTTTCCACTCCTGGAGCTGAATTGAAGCTCCCACTGCCAAACTCTTGGACATCCTCACTAATAATACCAACATCACTGCTTTCTTCGGCAGCTTCAGTATCCGAATCCGACTGACACTGAGCAACTATTGATTAACATAAGAACTAATTAAATAAATTACAAAACATTTCCAAAAATCAATAACACGTGAATGTAACAAGTAATCAAATTCAATGAACAATTACTTTGAGAAACTGTAGTATTTCCAGGACAATATCATATATCACATTGACAGAAAACCAATAAGTTAAAGAACAATGAATTAAATAAAAATTAGTATCTCTGCAAAGAAAAAAAACCACAATTCTGAAACTATCAACTCAAATAACAATTAGCAAAAGAAAACATGAAATTAATTAATAAACAAATATTATTAACAAAAATAGACATCATTTCCAGAATACTGTAAAAAAAAAACATTGACAAAAAGAAACTGTAGAGTCCAATAGCACAAAAAAAAAAAAAAAAAAAAAAAAAAAAAAAAAACCATTACTCTTAGGGCTAGTTTGATGTGGTTGAATGAAATAAAGTGAGAATGAAATGAAACATAGAATGGAATGGGAATAGAATGAGAATGGAATGATCATTCTCATTCCCATGTTTGGTTGCAGCACAGAGAAACATTATATTTTTGTAAAACATATATAAATATGTGTATATATATATATATATATATATATATGTATGTATATAGCCTACATTTTATTAAATGCTTTATTTATTTATTTATTTTTTATTATTATTTTTTAAGTGGGAATGGAATGGTCATTCCTTTAGTTGGAAAATGTAATGAATTAGTGAGAATCGCAATTCTCGGAGAATGTACAAGAATCATCATTCCAACTTTAAAGTAAGTTACCAAACTAGGGAATGAAAACAAAAGCATTCCATTCCCACTTTGATTCCATTCACTCACACCAAGCATAGAGTTAAGATAAAGAGAAGTTTTTCAAGAATGTCAAACAAACGGAATTTCTGAGAACCATCATGCATGCAACATGAACTTTAATGCATGCAATAACCGATGGATAAGAGCCATCAACATCTTGAAACCGAATCAAAACGGAATCGAATGTACTATGTATCAAAATTCAAAAGAATACATACAAATCAACACAAAGATTCACCACCAAATACAAATAATCAACGATAATCAAAATGACACAAATTAACAATCTCGCATGAATTAAATTTAATATATTTAATGAAACCATATGAATTATATCTCGTTGTCATAGATCAAGAGGATTGCAATGAAGATAGATTTTGAAGATGCGAGTGACATATCATGGATTACTAATTTAGGGCATATACGTGCAGATAATATTCTCATCAATACCAGTTCAATCTGTGTGTCTATATGGATTTATGATATGAAATGCGAACCTTGGGAGAAGGGAGAGGAGAGGAGGAGGAGAGCGATAATGAAGAAAACCCTAATCGTCATTGCTTGGAGAGGTAGCGCGCATGAACGAAGGCGATCCTATCCGGCGCTGAAGTGAACAAAGAAGGCGAGTGCGAGTTTCAGTTCGTTTTCCGGTGTGGTGTGGCGAATCATTAACGCGTGGAGGCGAGACACAAAGCCAAACAAGGACCCTTTATGGGGCTCTAGTGTACAACAATAATCCGAACAAATTATATTACTGGTGCCCACCGCATTTCATTCGTATATTAATATCCACCGAACGATGAAACATTATTTTAAAAAAATATTAGCGCGTCTATTTATGAAATTGTTTATAATAAAATAATATATATATATATTTTATCACAAACTAATATAGATATATATTTTTTTATCACAAACTAATATAGAAGAGATCAAGGAGAAACAACATACTTGGGGTGAACAACATTTAACAACCACAAGAATCATGTACTCCACTGTAAATTGGGGTGAACAACATTTAACAACCACAAGAACCATTAACTCCACTGTAAATCGTCACATTTGGTTTTAATAGCAAATTTGTTCAACAGATGAGTAATACAATTTTCTTCACGAGGAACCCAGATAAGAGTAAAACCCAAACACTAACTAAGTAACATACCAATATCGTTAAACACCACTTTCAGAGCAGCCGTTGATGTAATATCCCTAATTTTTAAAAGGATAGTCTTGGTATTTTGATTAATTATTTTTTTTTCATTAATTGTTTTATTTAATGTTTTAATTATAATTCGTTGATAGGTTGACCTGGTTGTTGACTTTATTTATTTAAATTGTTTTATTGAGTTAACTTTATTTTCTTACGTGTGTTATTTAATTTTAATTATTTGTTAAATGTTTTAGTTAGTTTTATTTGGTTAATTGGTATAAAGTTTAATTGGTAATTAAAGTAAAATGGTTAATTTGTTTTAAAAAAAAAAAAAAACAAACGTAACTGTTATATCGTTCCATTAGGTATACACAGTAACCGTCATTGTATAAACTTGAAACTTCTGTATGGGCCAAGCAAATCCGATTAGGGTTGAGGGAACTTAGGATTTATGTGGCCTATAAATACTCACTTAGGATGTCTGCCTAGGGTTTTAAGAAGAAGTTTACAACATCGTAAGTCTGAGAGCAGTTTTAGAGACGGCAGGAAAACAGAGAGCAAACAGAGGAGAGTTTCGCCGAAAATTATAGACGAACGTCGGTGTAAGGCAAGTTCTATCCTCACTCTCTCCCTTAGGTTTCGTGTTATTTGCATTCTTAAACAGTTTTAGGATTAATTGAATCAATTAAAACATTCTCTGTTCGTGCTTAAACTGAACTTTATCTGTATGTTTTTATGCTTTGTAAAACTGTTAAAACATGATGTTTGCTTGCATAAATCTCTGTTTAAAGCTATGTATGTAATGTTAACTAGATTTAAGGATGGATTGGGAATGTACTGGGATTGGGTTGCAGCCTCTGGAAGTCATGGCGTGAGGTAACAGAGGCGTAAAACGGAGACAGAAGGCGAAGAGACGGGACAGAGAGGGAGAGAGCCGGCTCTCCCTTGGAGAGAGCCGGCTTCTCTTGAGTAGAGGCGGCTCCCAAGTGGGGGAGCCAGCTCCAGGTTCTAAAGGAGGCGGCTCCACTTTTGGGAGACATCTCCTTTATGTATTTTTCATTTTTTTTGAGTTTCCAGCCAGTTTTGGTTACAGGGGTTGGTTTCTGTGGTTTCAGTTGGGTTTGGGGATGTATATGGAGTGTGTGGATGATGCTTAGAGACAGCTACTTAAGTCTCAAGAGGTGTTAATAAATTAATTACTTGGGTAGCTTGGACAGCAAATAGTTAAATCAATGAACACACTGTTTAGAGTTTAAAAATTCTGTTAGAAATATTTTATGAGACGGATAATATAATTAAAACATGTTTCACTTCATAATATGATCATGTACTTGAATTATAGTTATTTTGGATGAGTTGGTATCGAGTGACCTAGGTTATAAATCAAACTTAGCACTACTGGATTTCGGGAGCACTATAGGATAAGCATGTCTATATACCCACTGTAACTCTGTTTTGATATTTTCATGATTACAGTATGTATAAATTGTTGGAGTTATGAACTTAGTTGATATTTACTTTAATACTTGTACTATCAACGGTTGGCTGTTGAAAGCTATTAAGATTTACACGTAATAGTATACCGGTTTTACCTAAACTAAGCATGTGTATATACTGTGGTTCGGTTGTTGATACTTATCTTGTCACTGCTGGTATCGATTTCTGGAATAATGGATCTAGTTGATAGTTATCTTAATTGACGGTAATATCAACAGTTGGATGTTATATGCTATTAAGATTTAAACTTAGTACTATACCGGATTTTATGAAACACTATACATTAAGTGTATTTATGAAAATACTATAATTTTGTTTTCATGCTTCCATTATCACTGTCAGTATCAATTGTTGGAAACATGGATTTAGTTGATATTTACCTTAAGTGTAAGTTTTATCAACTGCTGGATGGTTGGAGTATGCACCGGTATGGGACGGTGGCATACTAGGGACGGTTTGGATTCAAAATACCAAAACCTACCTACTCTGGATTAAGAATTGGACTAACTAAAAGTTAAGTCCTACTAATTGTAGTGTCATGGCAACGATTAGTTGAGCGGCACTGCTAGGATACAGGATGGATTTTAAATATATGGTTATGGTACCTCGATATGAGCTTGAGTCTTAGGATCAACGGTTAGGGAGCGTATATGCATTGGGATGCATAGCTGGATACAATGGTTAGAGGTGTACCCTGTTTAGGTTTAGGTACACATGCCCACTTCGTGTGCATTTTAGCACGTTACCTCTATTCAGGTTGAGACCGGCCTGTAGTCCAGTGAGAGTCCTTTAGTGTGACTATATATATATACCTACGGACTATTAGCTATTGTTGAATTGTTTAGGATGCACATGTGTATCGGGCCTCTGTTTGGATTGTAGAAGTATAGAACTTGCGCGTGGGCCTGACCCACTTCTATTTTTTAGGTACACGACAGTTCCAAGCATAGACGTGTTCGTGCTGAGCAGAGGTCTCTATTCACTCTTCCGACGATGTAGGATTCTCTCCATAATTTATTCCTTGATGCTTATTACAGTTGTTTTATTTTTCGTTTGGATGTTTAATAGGGGTCCACTAGAGATGGATTCCCGAGTTGTAAACTGATGGAGTTTTGGAGTTTGGATTTGATGGATTTTAATAATTATAATATTTTGCGGATTCTATTTTTAGTTCCTTTCAGCTTTAATTTCATTTCTTAATTCATTTTTGTATTCCGTGTTCATTATAACATATTAATTGTTTGATATTCCTCGGGTTTGGGCCTGGGCCTGATCAACCCGTGTCTCGGATCCGAGGGGTATCACAGTTGAAGTCTGCAACTTCATAACCGGAAGACAATCTCCTTCCACAGCGATCTCCTTCCACAGCGACGTTGTGATAACCCTATTAATGAAGCAAAGCTAAAGACTCCCTTAACACAAGACTCCCCGCCATAGACGGGTTGCACACATTGTCAAAGAACACTGACGCATCTTGACTGGATATCCTAAATGATTCCGCAGGACCATGCCACCTCCACAATGCCTCAAGGAAAAATTGAAAAAAGCATTAAAATTGAGTTTTAAAACATCCAACTTCCGGCCCCTTCCACCGTATCGAAAAAGGCAAAACTAACACCGATGGAAAAGCCAAGAACGTTGGACAGTTAACTACTGCCAAAAAATTTTGAAAATCGTGGAGCACCTGCATGCTAGCCTCATGCAGATCCCATTTCTTTCCCGAAAAAACCAAGTCATTGCAACACTTCCAAATCATCCAACAAATGTAAGCTGCCAAACCCATGCACTCAGCCGAACCCGCTGAATCCGATCAATTATTACATAAAGAAACCCACCTTTTAGGCTAAAAAGAATGATTTTGCCCATTAAAGTCCAGATGAATAGGACAAAATTTCTAAACGAGGCATGCAAACGGACAAATGCATAGAAGGTGGTCCACCGTTTCAACCTCAACTTCACAAACTGGACACAAAGCGGCGTCGGACACCCCATGAAAATCTAGCATTTCATTCACAGGGATCCTCTCATGAAGGCTCTACCATAAGAAAAATTGGATTTTTCGAGCAACATAAATTTTCCAAACCTTCCGCCACATGAGACCTCTCCCCGCCTCAAAACTACCTCCATCCTCAGGGGAAAAAGTGAATTTTTTATTTAGAAGAGAATACGCCACATAATAGGCGTTTTTCACAGAGAAGCTACCATTCTTTGAAGCATCCCAAATCTTTCCATCCAAGCCATCCGTGTTGCTGAGAGGAATTTGTAAAATAAGATTTCGATCACGTTGATTAAATAACCGACTAACCAACTCAGTATTCCATTGATGTACATCATGAAGAATTAAATCAGCCACTGATAAAGAGAGAGCCCCATTCTGTTTGGAAAAAACCGATTGATTGTAGATGTCGGGCAACCAATTATCTTTCCAGCAATTCACAGTAGACCTATCACTAATGCGCCACCCCATACCTCTCTTTATAACTTCCTGTGAAGACAAAATACTCTTCCAAATCCAAGACCCACTTGGACTTTTAGGGGCATCCACAAAATTACAAGCCTTGAAATATTTCTATTTGAAAGACCTGTACAAAAGTGATCCATCCCCGAATTCCATCCGCTAGACTAACTTAGCTAAGAGAGCAAAATTGAAAGCTTCCACATTATTGAAACCCAACCCCCCAGTGTCTTTAGAGTGAGACAAATTGTCCCAACAGATCCAATTAATTTTATTAGATTTTTCCACGCCACTCCACCAAAAATTGAGAAACCCACTAGTTAACAACTGGCAATTCTTCTTGGGAAGTCGAAAACAATGCATGGAATAAGTAGGAAGGGTTGAAAGAACTGTTTTCACCATAATTTCTCTACCCGCTTTGGAGAGCAAAATTCCTTTGAGAAAATTAATCTTCTTGGAGACTCTATCAGATACGAACTGTAGAGTTGCCACCTTTGATCTACCCAGCATAAATGGGAGACAAAACTGAAGACAAAACTCTCTTTAGGACGAATGAGTATTTGGAGAGAAAAAGAGGCACGACTTTTCCAAACTAACTAATTAACCAGTAAGCGCTTCATATCTATCCAG